GGGGGGGGGGGCCGAGAGCACATACCCAGCGATGTTTGCAGGCGATGACTTGGAAAGAATGATAGCGGTGAGGTTACAGGCATGTCTGCTTGTCACGTAGATAATGTATAATGTACCTTTTTGAACAAAGCCCTTCCATCCTTCCTAACCTTGCACCCACGAAGTGAAGCACGCGAGAAGGCGATTGACCCCAACGCCTCACCAACCTTCGTCACGACCAGGAGGTAGGATGTGAGTATTCCTCGCCTCCCCAATTTTTGTAAGGCCCCCTCAGAGTCTTGAACCTCTCCGTTCTTTCGAGAGCGCGAAGACCTTTTTTTAAAAAAATCATAATGATAATGATAATAAAATTCCTATTGGTCTTTCTAGGTTCAAGTTTTTTCCAGTTTGGTTGGTAATTCGATCCTCGGCACAGGTGCGACTACCTACCTTATCTATCTCTCGCGGTAGGTACCTTAGGTGATGGCGCTGGTGCTGGTGCGGATGCTTCGCTCGCTCGCTCGCTCGCTCTTGCGTTTTACTCTTTGACCTCCCCTCGCGAGGCACGCACGTGGGTCATGACTAGTGAGGGAGGGAAGGGCTGGCTTGGACTGCAGTTGGGAGTGCCGGTGGGGTGGGGTGGGATGTAGTGTAGTGTAGTGTAGAAGCGTGCGTGCATTCGTTTGACGTTTCGGGATTTTTGCATGAGATATGCATTGGTGGGGAGTGGGATGGGATGGGATGGGATGGGATGGGAGGGGAGGGGGTGGAAGGGAGGGCTCGCTCCTTCCTGTTGGGCGTGAGGGGGGGGAGGGGGGATGGGTATGATATGAGATATGTGATATGAGATATGTGATATGAGATATGTGATATGAGATGCTATGAAATACTATGAAATGCTTGAAATGCTATGAAATGCTTGAAATGCTATCAAATGCCATGAGATGCTAAGCTAGCTACTCAGACTTCGGATCGAGCAATCGCAAGACGGAGGAAAGGGACAGCCTGCCAGTGAGCCTTACTCGAGAGCTCGTGGGGAAGGTAGCACCCGCGCTGGCTTGGTGGCTGCAATCAGACGGACCCATGGCTCCCCTCAATTCGAGCTCGAGCTCGAGCACAAGCATATCTGAGACAAATCCGTTGGGATGTCTGCATGATCAACGGAGCTTGGATTGTGTACACGGTCGTAGAGGAGAGGAGGATTGACAGAGGGGTCCTGCTTAAGCTCTTGTAAGCAAGCGGATGGCTTGATTCGTCGCCACCAGTCGGTTCGATGCCTCTCGCTCAGGACTCTCTTATATTCGACCATCCCGCAGTCTGGTGCCTCCCACCCGCCAGCGCTCTTCTTACTTTCGACCTTCAAATCGTAGTGCCGAAGTGTTGCTCGCTGATAAAGAGTGGTTGTGTGGAGCGGGCATCTCGGCTATTTGTTGACGTCGACAGTCAGGCCCCACCCTCACCAGAATGGTCCCGCCGCTCGAGTTCGCAAAAATGAACCTCCGGTTCTACATCGACCTCGTCTCGGCTCTCGAGTCACCAACCTCGAACACCCCGACTGCATCACCGATCCAGGCCGAGGCGGCGAGACGAATCACTTCATGTAAATAGCCCACCACCATCATCCGCCCGGGGCAGATGTTCTCCTGCACACTTATCAAGGGAAGTTGCTGACTCGCCGTGTCCTAGTCAGCATGTCGCGCAACAGCTCATGGGCTCACCTCTCGAGCCCGGGATCGGGGACGCCAATCGCCTTCAGGGCTTCCGGTATGCAGACGGATGTGCGCATTCGAGTCTTTGAGCGCGAGTTCCACGTCCACTCTGTCGTGTTGAGACTGTACTCGGCGTTCTTTCGCACGTTCTTGGACTCGGCGGACAAGGAGGAGACCGAGGCGGAGAAGGGATCGTGGAGATACGACTATGTCTCCGTCATGGATCCAGACGGCGGATGGGGGCTCGAGGCGGCGAAGAAGGTGCCCGACTCCCACCTCGAACATGGTCAAATGCGTCCGCTCACATAGTCTGCAGGTTCCGCATTCTCCCTCAAAGTCTTCAGCATCGAGCAACTCCTCCCCCAAAGAATCCATGGGCACATCCGCCGACGAGATCGCGTTCGAGAAGCTCCTCTGCGCCATGTACCACAAGAAGTACAGCATATCCGGCCTCCGAGAACTTTCCGACATGACCCGGCTCGCAGACCTCTACTGCTGCCTCCCGACCTTCTCGACCTCGCTCTACACGGCCCTCTGGCACTCCCCCTCCCTCATCGCCGAGATCCCGGCCAACTGCAACTCCACCCTCCTCCTGGCGCAGAAGCTCCGGCACCCGCTGCTCTTCCGCGAGGCCCTCGTCCACGTCGTGTCGCAGTGGAAGGGCTACTCCCGCTTCCTCGAGGGCCACTACAGTCTCGTCTGCGCGGTCACGTCGGCCTACAACCGCGTCTGTGAGCGCCTCCTGGCCACCAACCAGGAGCTCTTCCTGGCCATGAACCTCGGGGGCCAGGTCCGCACGGACATCTGCGCCGCGACCAGCGACATCGAGCGGGAGCTGCTGCCGACGCAGAACGCGCACTTCTACCGCCACCTCTACGACCAGTGGGAGGGCGAGCAGGAGGAGGGCATGGAGAGCGTGATGGAGTCGCTGAGCATGCTGCTCGAGAACAAGCTCGTGCTCGAGCGGGGCAGTACCTGCGCCGGGGAGCACGAGTTCAAGCACGGTTTCTTGTGTGCCACTCTGGAGGACAATGAGCTGCCGGTAAGTTGGAGACTCCCCCTCCCCTTCTCTCTTTCCGTCGATTCAAAGATTGCTGTCCTTGATATTCCAAGAGTCAAGATTGATGTGTGTTTGTGTGTGTGTTGATCTTGCTCCCAAGTTGTCGTTGCTGCTCCCAAGTTGTTGCTGTTGTTGTCGTTGTCGAGCCAAGACCTCGCCTACGAACCTACAGCCACAAACAAGCCTTTTTTCTTCTTTTTCTCCGCTGTCATCACATCCATCGATCTACCGGTACCTGCTTACCGTATCGAATGCTGACCTTTTTTTTTTTTTTCTCTCTAGTGGAATCTTGAAGAGGAAGACTGGTAGATCCCGGGCCATCGTTACGCCTAACCGGAGAATGCACATGCACAGAGCGAAATGAGAAGAAGTGGGTTGGTTGGATTTTTGGGGAGAGGGGGTGGAGGGGGGGTTGATGTTGGAGTTGGTGTTGGAGTTGGTGCTGGAGCTGGAGGAAAAACGGCCATTTTTTTTTCTTTACTGGATGCCGCAACCATCTGGTGTCAGGGCCTTGGCCCCATGGGAGCATGGGACGTGGGACATGGGAGCTGTTCATAGCTCTGCTTTTCGGGTTTTCGAATTGGGGTGGGGGGGATGGGTTATTTTTTTTTCCTTTTCCTTTTTTTTGGTGTGTGTGTGTGTTTTTTTTGCTACTTCCTGTATGAAAAAGAAAAAAGGGATATCCAGGGGTGCAGAATGAATGAATGAATCGATCGTGGTACCGGTACCGATCAATCGGCAGGGGAAAAAGAAAAGAGTATTTATTGCTGGAAGCAAAGCGAGCGAGTGAGCGGGAGGGAGGGGATGGGTGGATGGATGGATGGTGTTTCTTTTGTGGAGATTGAATGCTTAGAGAGGGGGGGGAATGAAACGAATAAATGGACTTGATACAGTATTGATGGAAAGGCCTTTTTTTTTAATTTTTTTAATTTTTTTGGTTTTGGTTTTGTTTTTGTTTTGTTTTTTTTTAAAAAAAGGGGAGGGGACGTGGGGAGAGGGGGAGGTTAGTACCGGTACTGAGGGGAGAGATTGGATTGGAATGGATTGACTGGATTGACTGGGTTGATTATTTTTATTTATTTTTATTCTATTTTATTTTTGTTTTATTTTTGTGGAAGAGAGGGGGGGGTTCTTCGAGATGCATGAATCCACGGATGGATGGATGGATGGATGGATGAGAGGGAAATGCACCTTGTAGATGAGATGAGATGAGATGAGATGAGGGGTGTGAGATGGGATGCAATGCAATGCAATGCAATGATATACCTAGGCATACGGTAGTAGTATGGACTATGACTTGTTTGTCGGTTCACTTGTTTATTGTTTTACGTTACTTAACGACTGTTGTCGTGCGGGTAGATAGGGTTATACCGGTATTGCTGGTTACTGCAATGTGCATTGCAGGTCTGCTTTTGCACAACGATTGTTTTACTTCTTTGGGGTTTACGTTACTCATTTATTGTTTACGTTACTTACTTCTTGTTTTACTTATCTATTGTTTACGTCACTTGTTTTGTTTACGTTACTGACACTACCTTGATCCCTAGGGAAACCCCCCCCCAAAAAAAACAAAGCCAGCCCCTGCACCGTACAGTAGTGCCTGAATCAGAATCCACCCACGCACGCCGCAGCCGTCCCGCCGCATCGGCACGCTAATCTGGTTGGTTGGTTGCCAATCTGGCGCTAAACTTCCCATTTTCCGCACTCGGTAACTGGACTGGAACTGGACGGCCCGACGATGACGTCCACGACTCCCCAAACTCTTTTCTTTCAAACTCACTTGATCAAATCAAAACAAAACAAAAAATGTCACGCCCTCACGAGCGAGAAATCATGCTTCCGTACGCGCCTTGATTTCCTGTACTTAGGTTACTGATTGCGATTGATGTTTGTACTCCGACTTCCGATCACGAGAACCTGCACCTCTTCGTATCGTACTGCAGTACTCGTACCGAGTCCCTGGAGACCTGCGCCAAGACCACCGCCCGGGTACGACTTGAACTACTTCACGACCTCGACGAGGTACAGGATGCCTCCCAAGAAAGCAGCAGCCGCAGCGGCAGCGGCGAATGGCAAGCGGAAAGCCTCCACGCCCCTCGAGTCAAGCTCCAATGGCTCCAGCAAGAAGACAAAGACCAGCAGCAGCAACAGCACCTCCCCCGACGACCTCCGGAAACCCCACGAGTCGGCACAAGAAGCAGAAGACAACGGCATCGTCCTCCGCAAATTCTACCCGCACGAGATGTCCAACGCGCGCGCCCTGGCCTACAACAAGGACGAGCTGCCGCGGCCCATAGAGCTCCTGAAGCGCGCGCTCGCGGAAACGAAGGCTGGGCGCGAGGGGGTCGACGTCAAGGGTGCCGTGGTGCACTGGTTCAAATGCGACCTGAGGACCCGGGACAACAGGAGTCTGCATCTGGCGAGCGAGAAAGCGAGGGGGGAGGGGGTGCCGCTGATCGCAATGTATATCGTCAGTCCGCAGGACTTCGAGGCGCATCTGACGGCGCCCGTGAGGGTGGACTTCATCCTGAGAACGCTGGAGGTGTTGAAGGCGGATCTGGCGAAGCTGGATATCCCGCTGCATGTCGAGACGGTGGAGAAGAGACGGAATGTCGAGGGCAGGGTGCTGGAGCTGCTGGGGGAGTGGGGTGCGAGCCATCTGTTTGCGAATATGGAGTATGAGGTTGATGAGCTGAGGCGGGAGGCGAGGATGGTGAGGGCTTGTTTGGAAAGGGGGGTTGCCATGGATGTCGTGCATGATACTTGTGTGGTGAATCCCGGCGAGCTGACGAGTGGGACCGGGAACCAGTATGCTGTCTACAGCCCGTGGTATCGGGCTTGGATGGCGTATATACATAAGGACCCGACGGTGTTGGATCTGTTTGATGCGCCGGGCAAGAATCCCAGCAGAGCGAGGGAGAAGTTCAAGGCGTTGTTTGAGAGTCCTATACCGGATGCGCCGCCGAACAAGACGTTGACGCCTGAGGAGAAGAAGAGGTTCAGGTCCATGTGGCCGGCTGGAGAAGAGGAGGCTCAAGAGAGGCTGAAGAGGTACTGCGACGAGCGGATAGGGAAATACCAGGACGTGCGGAACTTCCCGGCCAAAGCAGCCACGTCCTCGCTAAGCGTGCATTTTGCCAGTGGGACTCTCAGTGCGCGAACAGCCGTCCGCACAGCACGCGACCACAACACGAGCAAGAAACTGGACGCCGGCAACGAGGGCATCAAGACCTGGATATCCGAAGTAGCCTGGCGCGACTTCTACAAGCACGTCCTGGCCCACTGGCCGTACGTCTGCATGAACAAGCCCTTCAAGCCGGAATACACGAACATCAGCTGGGAGTACAACCAAGAGCACTTCCAAGCCTGGACCGAAGGCCGGACCGGGTATCCCATCGTCGACGCCGCGATGCGGCAGCTCAACCACTGCGGGTACATGCACAACCGGTGCCGGATGATCGTCGGCTCCTTCCTCGCAAAGCACCTCCTCCTCGACTGGCGGATGGGCGAGCGCTACTTCATGGAACACCTCATCGACGGCGACTTCGCCTCCAACAACGGCGGCTGGGGCTTCAGCGCCAGCACGGGCGTCGACCCCCAGCCGTACTTCCGCATCTTCAACCCGCTGCTGCAGAGCGAGAAGTTCGACCTGGACGGCGGCTACATCCGCAAGTGGGTGCCCGAGCTCGCGGGCGTCAAGGGGAAGGCGATCCACGACCCGTACGAGCGGGGCATGGGCGCCGAGGCGAAGAAGAGGGGCTACCCGCAGCGGATCGTCGACCACAAGAAGTGTCGGGAGAGGGCCCTGGCGAGGTACAAGGAGGGCTTGGGGAGGGAAACTGCCTGAAGGAGAGCAAGCGAGCGACCTTTTGTAGCCGTCCGGATAGTCCCAGATACCGGCGAGACTTGCATGCATGTCACACTATAGTTTCTCATATCGATACATATCCATGTAATCTAACTTAGATATCCATTTTCAAGATGTCCTTGATATATATATATATATATATATATAAGTAAAAAAAGGGGGGGATCATCTCTTATCAGTCTTTTCTTCTTCAAATCACTCATTTATTTCCTCTACTCAGATCTCCAGGTAGGTACCGGTAGGTACTGACTGTCTCACTACCTACCTACTCGCTCCAATAAGAGCTTGAGCGAGGGATTTCAAGGTCCAGCCAGCCAGCCAGCCACCGGCATTGCATACTTACTCGTTCTACAACTAACATTTCCATCGCATCAGTGATAAATATAGGTATAAGAAGGTAGATCTGGAAGAATAATTGAAAAAAAAAAAAAGGCTTCCGATAAATAGCCTCATCGGCGACGCGAAACGGCTGTATTACAACAGACACACTTCGGGGTTCGTATCTAGATACTCCATAAGATGTATACCAGTGTACGACTACCCGGTCCTTCCAATCAACGCCTCGCTCAATCCAATAGATGTCCCCTCGATAGTGGTATTCCAACAAGTGTCGCTAAATGCTAGAAAAATGTTAAATCGTGTGAAAGGCGCAGGGCCGCCATGGCGTCGATTGCTCGCAGTAAAGGGCATGTGGCCCCGGCGGTTATGTTTGCCCGCCAGCAAGCCTATGGTCCTCTCCATCTGGTCTAGGCCGGACGGCACTCAAGACACCTTTCCAGCAGCCAGCTTTGCGTCAGCTTTCTTCTCGCTTTCCAGCCGCTTCTGTTTCTGGGCGAGTGCCTTCTGCTCCCTTTTCCTCCTCTCCTCTTCGCTCCTCCTCTTGATCTCCTCTCGCTTCTCATCTTGACTTAGAATCTTCTCTTCGGCTTTTCTTTGAGCAGCTGGTTGCTTCCGCTCGGCTCCTCTCAAGACCGCTGCTTTGTCCGGAGACGATCCGTCCGCCTTCTGAGCCACTGGCACTGGCACCGGAGCATTTTCTTTGATTCCCTTCAAAGGTTCCTGGGTCTGAGCGGGCGCTGACTTCGGAGCTTCTTGCTTGTGTTCCTGTGTCTTGGGTTCTTGTTTCTTGGGCTCTGCCTTCTTGGGTGGTTCGATTTTAAGCTCCGTCCCCTTGGCCTTCTTCTTCTCGTCTTCCTTGTTCACCGGGATCCATTCCAGTTTTTCTTCATCGAAGCGATGTCTAGAACCATATTAGCAGAGCCGTATTATCCTGAAGTCAGACGTACCCTTGAAATTCGGTCAGAGTCAAGGCCTTCTGATGATACTCCGCCTCCAGGAGCTTTTTGTATGCATATGGAATCTTTGCTGGTGTGCCCTCGAAGTACGTATCTCGCAGAGGGAAAACGTACGAGTCCTGCCTTGTGTCAGTCCACCTGCCAGCATCCGCCTAGTGCATCATACCCTATACTCGTGTCCATCCTTACACACCAACATTCCCCGGCCCGCAGGGTGCGAGTGATTGTACCTTGCCGTGGTGATGTCAATGAAAAGGCCACTCTCCGTATCGACCCATCGCGCATCGATCACATTCAACTTGTCCGTCTGCTCCCGAATCACATAATGCGGGTTGATCTCCAGCATATAATCCCGTCCTTGTGGTATCCGTGGCGTCTGGTAGTGGAAGACGGACATGTTGTAATAGGAGGCGAGGTAGTGCATTGAAGCCTCGGAGACTTGCACGTCGGAGTCCGAGTCCCAGGGGAGAATCTGTAGGCCAGTTGTCAGTCAGGCACCTGTGGGAGGGATGTACGGGCGGACACACCTTCCGATTCCACCACCATCCCAACAGCGTGCCGTGCATCAGCCATGTCTCGACGCCGATATCTGCGAAAGTCGCGAGGTAGGTCTGGATGAGGTTCGACAGGGCCTTTTTGCGCTCTTGGTAGCCGAGCTGGTGGTCTGCGAATCTAGCGTGGAATGTCAGCTGTGTTCCGTGTATCCCGAGCTACGGTGCTAGGACGACGCACCTTCCGTCGTAATGGGGATGGAATCTGATCGTTTGCAGGTCAGTAATTGTCGGGGATCAGACGATCGAGTCTGCGATGGATACATACACGCTTTCATCTGCACATCCACGAGGCGTTAGCGAGTGCAAGATAGATGGATGGATAGGTAGTTAGATAGATAGATGGGATCGGGGCACGCTCACGGAAATATTTCTCGCTCGGATCGCCTTTCTTCCCGCTCATATCCTTGTGCATATGCGTCCGCACACTGAAGAAGTCGGCATCTCGTCGCTGGATGGCGAGTGCCGATGCAATGGATAGGACGGCGGGGAGAGAGAGCAGCCGTGAGCAGCGCATGGTGTGTATGTATGTGAGAGAGAGTAATTAATTGAGGGTATAGGAGGTTGAGTTGTTCAGATATAGAAATATTTCCACTGGCTTAGCGATGATCTTGTTAAGGTTTGTCTTGGCAGATAGAAGCAAGTAAACAGCCGCCAAATACCGGTAGATGGATGGATTTCGTGAGATGGATTTCGTGAGGGAGGTTGTATAGGGAGGCAATGCCAGTCTTGTACGCGCACGCTGCAACTCATCAAGCGGTAGTGGAGTTGGGAGTTGGGAGATTCGTCGTCGTCGTCGATGTCGTTGTCGTTGTCGTTGTCGTTGTTGTCGTTGTCATTGTTGTATTTGTCGTTGTCGTTGTCGCCCGTGTGCTTGCTTGCTTGCTTGCTTGATCAGGCAGGGTGATCGACCGGGCACGCGACCAGAGAAAGACGAGTGACGACGCCCAAGGTCGGTAGGTAGATAAGTACCGGTAAGTAAGATGAAGGTTCGAGGTATCTATAATCCTGGGTCTCGATCTTTTCGGTCTCAGCTGTACCCAATCACAGCCCATCACATACAAGCCTTTGATAGAATGGCAGGGGCAAGGAATGCAAGGAGAACATCAGCACTATACCGGTCTCGGTACTCGCACTCGCTTCTCGTGTATGCTTCCCCCGCGTCATTCTTAGTCAGTCTCATGTTGATTCTAATCCTCGTCCTTGTCCTCGTCCTCGTCCTTGTGCTCGTCCTTGTCTGTATCTTTTGACTTGTTCATCCCTTCTCCTTCCATTCCTCGCCTCGCTACCTACCGGTAACTCACCCCCTTCATACAGTAACACTGCCAATCGATGAAACGCTGCATACTCCCCACAAGCCGCGTCAGCGCCTACGGAATCCCATGCCCCATGACCCAATACCGATGACCCATGGCAACCCTTCCCGTCTTCCCTACCTTACCTCTCTTTGCTTCGCACAAGCTTTTTGACGGGACCCTTGGCAAGGCTTAGCAGCGCAAGGCAAACGACGACCAAACTCTCTGCTTTCCTTTGCTCATAAAGAACGTTACGAGGTTAATATTAGTACGTGATATCCATAGAAGTTTAGCAGATTAATACGTCTATTATTTCTTTCCTATCCTTTTATACCATATGTGGGAATGCTGGACTGGGGGAATGGAGGGATAGGAGTTAAGGACTCGGATACAGTGGCCCGTGCTGCCTTGGCACCACCACTATTCCTGTACTACATCCCTCGCACCTACTTAGAATAGCTTCCTCTTCCTAGACTTAACAACACCACGAATGCAACCTATTGCGATTCGTACCGAGTCTCAGTGTGCACATCCCTTGTATTATCAACACTATGTATCATTTTTTTATCTAGAGCTGTGATACTAGTACATATTTTATTATATTGTCATAGGTATGTGGCACTGCTGTCATGACTCTTTTACAAGCACATTCTTGCTCAACTAAGTGCGTACAGCGTTTCATTCCCAGTTAATAAAAAAAAAGGAAAAGTATGCTTGTTGCAGAAGTGCCTGGTCTGATAGCGGATAACCACATCTTATGCTAAGAAAAGCAGAGCAGGTCAAAGGTCACCCAAGATTGAGCACTTCGTAATTGCGTTATTTTAACAGCACTCAAAAAGGTGCATGCGCTAGTATACAATGTCCATTTATTGTCTTGTAGAAATGTTATAGTCTCGATCATCAAGGTGGATATGCCAAGATGTATATACATCTCCTCTCTAAAAAATTCAAATTGTTCAATCAATACGAGATCCGTACGCGTACGAGTAACCCGTTTCGTATCTAGCTAATCAATCAACTACTTCATTCATTCACAACTCCACGATAACAATAAGAGTAACAATGAAATTGTTTTCACGTCCATTGCGGGTTATTAATTCACAATTCTACGAGACGCTCTTATTCATTCGTGAATTGGTTCACCTACTCTGCTGATGAAACAATTCTTTGACTACTCTTTAAGCTCGAGTTCTAGATATGCATATAATAAACAATCCCTCTGCTCTACAGGGAACTATAACGATTATCGGCTGTCGGAGAGATGGGTTCGATGAGATGAGTTAGGATAAGATAAAGTCTTCTATTACCTATGCTTTAAGAGATGTATAGCGTAAGAGCTTGTCTAGCTGAGAGGTTTAGTTAGACCTTGCGATTAGTTCTTACAAACATGATGCCACGGGTCAATGTAAAGAAACATAAGATACTTGATTGTCGGGACTTGTATTGAAGAGCGACTAATCACTGTCACTTGCAGGATATCGTCTCACGGAAGCTAAGTCTTGCGAATAAAAACGGTGCTTTTCATACATACCTATGTAATATAGGATGTACATAAATATATTCCTAAAGCCAAGCTATCCTGCTGTCAACTGCTTAGCTGGAATCCATACCGATCTCAATTAAGCTTCGCCATGCGGCATCCTTACCTAGTGCCCGGTAGGATTATGATCTAGCCATCACTTCTAGGTTCAAGTTCTAGCCCGCTACCGAGGCATTCCTGCGCAGCCGCAGCGCTACAGTTTCGGAAATCTAGACTTGTTGGGAAAAGGCGCTGGAGAGTTCAGGCTCGGGGATCGCGAGTATAAGCAAGATCAGCTGTCGCAGATGTGAGGATGGGATTAATGCAGCGCCAGCGATCGTGGGGGAGAAAGTGATGCAGCAGCTGATGTTGTTAAACCAGTGCTGCGATTTTCGGATCGGTGAGTTCTTGCTCTGAGTTTTCCTTATCAATTGGTAGACCCAGACTAATATATACTACGTATGTATATATATGTTTTTTTTTTTCGGAGCTCAGGGTCAATTGAATTTGGACAAGTGATCGGAATAAGGTCATAGGTGACTTAGTCAGACGCTGGGATATCTAGCACATGCAAGGCTCGAAGCCGTGTTCCGATGGGGCATTCAGTCATGGCATTGAATAAAAAGGTAATCGATGCAACTTAGCAGATCTTGAGTGAAGTTATCATCGTTGATGTCCGAGGTGGTTAAAAATAGAATGTTGTTGGATGTGTTTGCTTACAAATCAACCCCGCCAAACACCCCGCCTTCACTTCCTTCCTGCCATCCTTCCTTCTCGACCTTGCAAAATTTTCGTAGACTCCCCTCACACTTCAACGCAATTACGAATCTCCCAAACACTAGAACCTAAGAACTCTTCAAAATGTCGGACATGAAAGTCGTCTACACTAAGGATGCTGCTTTCCGTACGTCTTCACTCCTACTTTGAGGAACCAAAGCTAACTTCTTCATAGCAGCAGGACCATACGTATATCTCCCTTTTGGTTCCTTTTGCAGCACGAATCCATACTGAAAACTCACAGTCCCAAGCTATCGCAACCCCCTCTACCATCTACTGTTCTGGCCAAATCCCTTGCGACCCCTCCGGCACGATCCTCACCCTCGCTGACTCGACCATCACACAAATGACCGAGCGCTGCATCCAGAACCTGTCAGCAGTCCTCAAGGAAGCCGGATCCGATATCTCGAAGGTGGTCAAGGTTAACGTCTTCCTGACAACTATGGACAACTTCGCTGAGATGAACGCCACGTACGAGAAGTTCTTCACGCACAAGCCTGCGAGAAGCTGTGTTGCTGTTTACCAACTGCCAAAGGGGGTCCCAGTCGAGATTGAGTGCATTGCTTTGGCATGATTTGGTGGTCTAAAGGACATAAGATTAGAAAGAAAAAGGACATCGATCCGATACCTGGGCTTACCGAAAAAATTCAAATCTGATTTTGCATCTAAGAAACAAACATACCGGCCAGAGAACATTCACGGATACCTCCAGGCAATATGTCAGGACATGGCTGTTGAAAATTCGTTGCTTACCTACCTTGTTATAAAGACTGATCCAGAACAGGCCTGTGATTTAGAGGGGCACAGGTACGACACAGGCCAACCCTTATTAAGCTTGGTGATGTCAAGCTGCTTGGGGATACTGGAATAAGTGGTACCTGTCCCTCGAAAATCATTTTGCTCATCTCAGCAACCGAGTGGACACTCAATTCACGAGTCCCGGGGCCGCTCTTTTCCTAAGGCGGAGGAGTGATGAAAGATGCCACTATCCTCGCTTCTTATATTCTTGCCGCTTCTCAAGAGTGCCATATTATTTTCTGGCCATTGCTAAGAGGGTTACAGTTGATCCTTCATTTACCGAATAGCCAGAATTCGGTAACCTTTTATTACTGTCGATTCAAGTCTCGACTCGAGTCTCTTGTCGCTGATTATATCCAAATTCCAGAACAATCATTACGATTCGTCGGGCGCATCCAACAATATCCCGATTCCTCGTCTGAAATGATCGCCAAGCCTAGGACGGACTTTTTTTGAGATGACCCTTGCGTCGTCTAGCTGCCGATCACACAGGACAGTTGTATAAACGGATTGATCACTTTGTGTGCCTATCATTCATGCGAGGAGAATTTGGAAAGCAGCTTTGAAGCATGATCTCACAATTAATTATTGGTATTTGGGCCGGCGTGGCAATCTTGCTTGCGGAGCATAGCTCGGCCTCAGTCTATGGGAGTACCGGGTATTCAAACAACTTCGGTATTCCAGGCGTAAATATCAGCTATGACTGCAAGTCCTTGTGAGGCACCTCGATCCAGGATCTTCGCTGACATCTCGATAAGATGTGGTCGTAGGAGGAGGGACTGCAGGTCTCGCCATTGCCTCGCGTCTTGCCGAAAACCGGAACATCACCATTGCATTGGTTGAAGCAGGTGGCTTCTACGAGCAGGAGAACGGAAATCAGTCTTTGGTGCCTGTCTATTACACACCGAATATTGCCGGACCCCTCACTAACTAGGGCTTCATGACCCAGCCGCAACCTCAGTCGGGGTCCAATATTATTGCATACTCAAGGGGATAGACGCTTGGAGGCGGTTCTGCCCTCAATGCAATGCTATACCAGCGTGGTACAAATGGGTCCTATCAACAATGGGCCGACGCTGTTGGAGATCAAAGTTACAACTTTGAAAACTTCCTGCCATTTTTTAGAAGAGTGCAAACTACACGCCACCGAATACAAATGCCCGGGTAGCGAATGCGTCACTTCCAGCAGCTCCAAACGGCTCTTTCATAGCCACTGGCGAACCTCTCCATGTGTCCTTTCCAAACACGGCGACCTCATTTTCAACTTGGGCGCAACTGGGGTTCCGTGCGATCGGAATCGAGGACACTGAGGACTACTCGAGCGGAAGTCTGCTTGGTAGCCAATATTGTCCTCTGACAGGCCGCCCTGATGATCAGACAAGACCCTCTAGCCAATCAAGCTTTTTGCAAGCTGCTTTCTACCGCAATGCGGTTTACCCGAACTTGGCAGTCTATATTCATACCATGGGCGAGAAGGTCATAACAAAACCGCGACCGGTGTCCTGGTCAAAAGCCACGGGCTGTCATACATGCTCAATGCCTCAAAAGAAGTTATCCTCTCAGCCGGCGCATTCCAATCCCCTCAACTGCTCATGTTCAGCGGTGCGGGACCTCAAGCGGAGTTCAACAAGCACAATATTACTTGCATCGCTGATCGCCCGGGAGTGGAACAAAACATGTCGGACCACATCACTTCTCCAGTCACTTACGAGATCAATTTGAACACGCTATCCAGCCTCCAGTTCGCCGCCCGCGCTTCTTTGGAGTATTTGGAAAAAAAGATTGGCATTCTGACCTCCCAGAACGCGGACTACCTTGCCTGGGAGAAGATTCCCGCAAATTATTACAGCAACCTCACATTAGATGCGCAGGCTGATCTTCCAGCTTTCTTCGCAGATGTAAGGTAATACCCCAGTTATTGACCTGATTTTCCCCGGGGATCCGTGTGTATAAAGATGACTTGCTATGCTACAAGATCGCGGACTCTCTTCATCTACTAGCAAGAGAAATCGGCTAATCAACCTCAGTGGCCTGACCTCGAATACTTCGTCCTCAAATTCAACGCCGCCAGACAGCTTCCGGCGGACGGGAACTTTGGCACACGTCAACCTGCACTCATTACACCTATATCGCGCGGCAACATTTCTCTCTCTTCCGCTTCTATGGATGATGCCCCCCTGATCAAACTAGGCTGGCTCACAAACCGGACCGACGTAGAGATTACCATTGTTGCCACTAGAAGAGCTAGAGATTTCTGGGCATCCGATGCTATGGAGAGAGTTACGATCGGCGAGGAAGTTTTACCTGGTGCATTCCTTCTCACCGACGCGCAGATCGAGGTTTGGGCAAGAGAACATGCGCAGACTGTGTACCATGCCAGTTGCACCTGCAAGATGGGTAGATTAGGGGATCCGATGGCTGTTACAGATAGCCGGGCGAGAGTCATTGGAGTCAACAATTTGAGGATTGTGGATGCTTCGACCTTTCCTCTGCTCCCGCAGGGACACACGCAAGCAACGATTGTAAGTCGTCATAATGACCGACTGGGAAAAGTATGTTGTTACTGACTCTGCATAGATGCCTTGGTGTGGAAGATAGCTCACCATATTCTGAGTGATTCCTGAAATATGCTTCTCAGCAGGTTACAGAGCTGGACCGGACTAGGCAGAAAATCGACAATTACTAGCGATGCTCGGAGACGCACGCTCATCAATAATTGAGCACATACTGGTCCATCGGCCTCGATAGTGTTTGACACCTACTCCTTTAATTTTATACTCCTATAAAACAATCGTTGTTCGATAAACACAAAGTCCCAAAACTTTCCATTGGTCTCGCTTAGCGGGTGCACCGACACCCCTAGATACTCCCTTTGCATCAGAGCTGTCAGAAGCACCATCCATACCAAAGCGACCGGACCGTGCCAAAACCACATCCCGTCCCTAATTCCATCCCATCGTTGCTGTCACGCATCATTCGAAGCTCTCAGACTCAGCCGTCACATCAGGTTGGGGATGACACAACCCGCTGCCACCTCTTCCCTGAAACGCACTTTCGGACCTTCTGCACCAACTCGAAATGCTTTCTAGGGCACTCTCTGCATGTAACTCCCTATCTTAGCACGTCTCCGTACGAGGTCCAAGGGCGGGAGCCTATCGCCTGCAACCCGCTAGATGAAAATGAATACTACTACTCCTGTTACCACTCCTATAAGAGCGGGAATGCCATCACCCATCCTGTCTCTTTATCATCAGAATCACTTTTAATTCTATCCTCGCTACCACAACCCTCTCTCATTCCTTCTCGCATAACTTGTTCAAGCCTGCCTCAAACAAACAGACAAACAAAACTAAACAAAACAAAACAAGCAGTACACAATGCGCACTTCTCTCTCCCTCCTCGCCCTCACAGCCTGCCTCTCAGGAGCCGCGCTTGCCTTGCCGCAAGCCGTGAGCGGTACCACGTGCTCCGATACCGGGGACTGCCTTCCCGCCGTAAGTTTCCTTGTTCTATGTTCCTCGTTGACTTTGTTTTTCTTTCTCGGCCCTCGCTTCGGCTCTCTCGTTGCTACGCCCTCCCAACCTCGCCATCTACCAGCTTGGCATCCCCATCCTCTCTCCAGCGGTACCCATGAAAGCCAAAGCACTGTCATCATAAACACGAACTGACAACCTTCTTCCTACAGGACGGTGGCCGAGTATTCGCAGCAGTACCAATGGCGGCCATTCTCAAGCCAGCTGCAAGGCCATCTAAAGCGCTGAAAGCTCCCGCCGGGTCCAAGGCCGTTAAGGCCCAAGCAAAGGCATCTACAGCACCGAAGGCTCCCGCCGGTTCGAAGGCCGCTAAGGCCCAAGCAAAGGCATCTACAGCACCGAAAGGCTCCCGCCGGTTCGAAAGCGGCTAAGGCCAAAGCAGCGGCAGCTACTCCCAAGCCAGCTGCTAAGGCATCTACAGTACCGAAAGCACCCGCCGGTTCGAAGGCCGCTAAGGCCCCAGCTGCGGTGCGCCGGTCCTGACTATTTTGATTTCGATGCCGAGAATTGGATTTGATTGTGTGCTTTTGGAAGCCAAACCGCTAGCCACCCTTGCGGAGCGGCTTGCACTGGGCTAGGATTGGGTCTTGTGTTTGAGAAGTATAGTAACTGATGAGGGGGGGGGGGTGTATTTATATGGAGGTGGATGATACGATAATTCTGATTTGGTCAGGCGCTGATGGAGAAATTTTGTGGGATGAGAGACAGAGAGACAGAGGGGGGGGAGAGGAGAGGATATTTCATACCTGTTTTTTAATGAGAAGACGTCTCGATGTATTATGGATGCGGACAATTTAATTTTTTTTCAATTTCAAGTTGACTGGACAAGCGAGCAAGCAAGCCTGCCCCTTGCCTTTTGTAGTTTGACCTTGAAGTGGAGATTTGTTCCGCTCATGTGTGGATCAAACATTGTTTTCCTTAGAGATCGTTGATAGGAACAACTAAAATAGGTCAATCGGTTTTGGCTTATTGATGTTTAATTGCAGTAGGCTTTATGGCTTTATATTTTATAATTTACTATATGTATAATTTTCAGTCGATAAAGCACTATTTTTATATGACCCCCGGCCTCCTTTCCCGACACCGGAATAAGCTTCCGCTCCAGAGCCGGTAGTAGGGCTCGCTAAATTCAACGACCGCGTCTTTAACTCAACGCTTATTGTTTCCGTACGTCGCAAATTCAATAAATAAATCGAGCGATAGTAGCTATCTCGTTCCTTTCTAGTCTCATAATAACTTGCCGAAGCTGCCCAGCAGCCCTTCCTTCTCCTTGGAGCCACACACCACACCTGCTCAAGCCTACAATCTGATCTTCCCCGTCCCCGGGACCCAGCCTCCAATCCAGTCGGTCACCTTACCAACAAGGTAGAAAGAAGTACATTGCGAAAATACAACCCAACCATCATGGCTCACTTCCAAACCATCCACCTCGAGCACCTCCCCCCCTCCCACGACCTCCACATCGCTCTCTACCACAAAGTCACCAACGCTGCCTTCCTGCACCAGCAGCTCCTCGCAGGCAATACAGACTTTGAATATGCGCTGGTGGACGCTAGCGTGGTTCGTCTCCTCCCTTCTTCATCAACCACAACCCATTCCCATCTACATATCACGTGATATCAAAAGAAATCACCGAGTGCAAAACTTGAGGTGTGCACTACCAGGCTGACCCAAACAAACCAAACGACAGATACTCTCCAAGCTTCACATCCTCGCAGCAGCCTACCGGGCCGTGAACGATATGCTCGAGAACCGGCTGCGGAGCCGCAACGTGCATTCCGAGATGGTGTTCTCGCTCTCGCCGAACAACAATGTTCGTCATCACCACCTTCTTTCTACTCCACCACATCAAATGACAAGACATGTCTACTCTTTCTCTCCTTCTCATCGCAGTCCCATCTCACCTCATCCCAATCACAAGTCCCACCCTGTGAAGAATGTGAACTAACCTGCGAGAACCCCTCCTCTCCGCAACCGACAGATCGCCGAATCCTTCCGCCGCTTCGGCCTCACGCCTACCACTTCCTCGCTGCTCGTCCTCAAGCTCTCTACTCCCACGCACCCTTTCCTCGCGTCAGCCGTGCAGGCGCACCTCGCTTCTGCTATCGATGGCGAAGCCGTGCCCTTGACGGATGATAGCTTGAGAGCGGTGACGGATGTGGCGCGGGTGAGGAAGCTGTACAAGCTGAATGCTGCTGGGGCTGGTGGGGGAGGGGGAGGGAAGAAGAAGATGAAAGACGCGGGTGTTATCGGGGGGGTGGTTGATGGCGGGCGATCGGCGGAGAAGGAGGAGGAGGAGAGGAGGGAGTTGGAGGTTTTGGTTTTGGGAGCGATGGCTTTGAGGAGTGTGACGAATTGAGCGTTTAAAAGGGGGGGGGGTCTCAGATAGGTAGCTAGGTATTGGTAATGTGCGACGAGACATGAATAAATGGAATGAGTCTCCTCGAAGAGCTGCAGTGCAGTGCAGTGCAGCAAAATGTAAAGTGCAGTCAGTAAGTAGCTCAAAATTGCGAGAGCTAGAACTCCTACACCTACCTACCTAAGGTACCTACCTATTCAGTGGTGGATGGCCGCACCAGAATTCCCCCGCGCGCTTTGCGGCTCAGGTTTCATTCACATTCTCAAGGATCCCATCTATCTGCCTGATGAGTTTGCTCGATGAATATCGTCCTGCCTTACCCCAGGCCGGCTAGGCATGTATGTATCCATCCATCTTACGAGTTTTCAGATATCGATTTCAACATTCCACTTTTTCTTCCAAGCATCCCTCTCTCTCTCTCTCAAAACCTCGTATGGCTGAAGATATTTGTAAGCGTATTTCAGATATATCAAACGGCGAGGAAAGCTCTTGAGCCTCGAATAAAGGTCTACTTAGAAGTACTCGTCTTGATACATGACGAAGCTTGCTAATTTTAAAAGAAAGTCGCGCTCGTGATAGATATAAAATACCGCAATATCAAAAAAAACGAAAAAAATGAAATAGATGCAATGATAAATATTAAGAGCAGTGATGACGGCATTTGAAGATGGTTGCGACATGCAACAAATCTACTTTAGCTATAAACTTATAGATCGCGCGCGGGTAGACTAGACTTGCTCCTTTTTTTTTAAGTAAATAACTAGGGCTTAGACTAGGTAGGTAGGTACGAACTGTGGAGCCGCCTCAAGAGACCAAGTACCAAGTTCGTATCTATCTCACGCTTGATCCTGACCAGAACAAACTAGACGGAACGCTCCGCAAAGTTCGACCTTGGATGACGATGCCAGACGTGAGAGAAACAGCTCGGGCAGAGGTCAAAATTCAAGCAATCCTGGCACTTGTACCGCAGATCGTGGTAGAAGAACTGTTTCCACGTCAGCAGGCACTCCATCCAAGTAAAGCATTCGATGGGGGCGCCAGACCTTGCGATTGCAGCCATCACACCGCCAGTCCCAGTCATCAACAATCCGGACGATTGGCGGTGGAGATGGACCCAGAGATGCCGCCGACCCTTTGGACAGATCCGCTGCAGGAGCGACGACGTGGCTGTAGACAGTTGCCAGAGGTATGACTGGACTTGTTGACTTGCTGGTAGGACGGGAGGAAGGTATCGCTGAGGGAGTGAGATTACCCGGACGGGATGGTCTACCGGTATCCGGATAGCCTTTCCCGTCATGAAACCACTACCGGTACCTTTATCAGCACCTTCTCGTCACGGGACCCGGATCCGGAGACTCACCCCGGCCAGAATCTCCCCAATGTCTTTTTCTGCTTCTTCTCGAGAAGAAGGCTCGAAATCGCGACGTTCTTCGCCCTTTGCTTTCCGCTCCGCACTCTTCCTCGTCTCCATTTCAGCCCTCAGCTTGGCTTTCTGCTCCTCGTCGGCCTTCTTCGCCGCTAGTTCCGTCTTGGCCATCTCCGCATCTTGGTGCTCACCAGCATTCCGGCTGTATCTTGGATTCTCCTCTGCTGCTGGCGGCCTCAATAACTTCAATGAGAAGTACGGACTTCGTCGCATGTTCTCCAGACTCTCCTTTTGGTATTCGGACATCTTGGGCTTCTCAGTCTTGCCAGACGCCCTCTCGTGAGAGACTTCCTTTTTCTTCCTCTCTTCTGTCTCGAGAAGTCTACCCGCGGCAACCTCGGGTTGTGGTGTTGGCGTCAGTGTAAGAGTCGCTTCGTAGGTCACACCGTCGGAGTTGGCCCCGACACCTCTCAAATTGAGCTGCATAGGGACTTGTTGCGCGGAGGTTTGGCTACCAGCAGCCGCTGGAACACTCAAAGCACCCATGGGGGCTGGGCCCATGGTTGGCTCTCTGGGTTGCGGAGGCATCTGAGGAGCCGGCAGCTGGTGCATCCAGCAAGTCGTCATGAAAACAAACATGTGCTGAACCTCCTTGAGGCGATCCTGATGTTTTCTGACCTTCTTCTCGTCCCGGAACGCATACTTGAGACGCTGTTGGTAGTCCGGCTTCCCCGACCCATGCGGAATCATGAGATCGATATCCTTCAGAATGGCTCGGCACTTGGTTGAGCAATCTAACTTTCAGCAATCTTGTCTATCATATGTGTTGGAAATCAGCTGTGTGTACCTGGCGGACAAGCGACGTCGCATCGTCTTCAAATCGCTTCGGGAAACCCTGTCCGGTCCCATCAACACTTCGCGCAAACACATCCACGAGACCCGCGCAGAGGGTGATCTGACTTGCTATCTCGATCATTTGTTTCGGGGCAGAGCTGAATGCTTTGTAGCGATCTGTAAGTGCTCCGGCAAGCTTGTTCGCGGCTTCGGTAAGAGCGACGGCCCCAACTACGATCGAAAATGGATCCATGGTCCCAAGGTGTTGACGGGGTACACTGGCGAGGCTTTCTCTCGTTTTGGGTCCCTCGTAGTATGGGGACCTTCAGATCGATGAAGCCAGCTGGAAACATATCCCATGCTTACGCTCCAGCTGCAGGCTAGCCTCGGTTCAAGCCACCACCGAGTATGACGAGCGTCAGGAGTTTCCGACCACCATTTATATATATCTTACAATGGAACTTCACGTCTTGACCATTGTTACCTCTCAAGAGCCTGCAGTGCCAGTATATCCGAGGCTTTGACACTCTCTAGCTTGCGCTCCTCCTCGAGTGCGCTAGAATATCTCTGAATGCACCCGCACTCCCTTCACACCATGCAACCAGATCTGCTTCTTCTTGATTGATTGATTGATTGATTGATTGATCGATCGATTGAAAGGTTTGCTTACTTACTGCAATGCAAAGCACGCTTGCTTGCCATGCTTGGTGCTACCAAATACTTCTCAAGGAAGGGGGTATGGGAATGGGTATAGGGGAGTCTGAATTTAAAGAGGACCGAGAGAATAATGGTCTGGATAATCACCATCGATGAAGGCTTGCCCCATTTTTAAACATAAGATGCGGAGCGGAGTGATGGCATTGGATTTACAGACAGAGCCAGAGCCAGTGCCAGTGCCAGTGCCAGTGCCAGTGCCAGTGCCAGTGCCAGTGCCAGTGCCAGTGCCAGTGCCAGTGCCAGTGCCAGTGCCAGTGCTAGTGCGCCCGCCTAAGTACCTAACCTCTATTGACATTGCCCTGACGAATTTCGCCATCTGCCGGCCGAACATCAAAGCCACCATGGAGGATGAGCCAAGCCACGTCAAGATTCATTGGTACGTGAGTATCCATCCGGTTGATCAGTATGATCATGATAAAAGCACAGATCTCCGTGGAATGGACCATGCAGGGAGTTGGAATACGCATGCCCGGAGAGATTGATGAAAGCGACTGCCACGTCTCTACAGAACTCTGCACGTTCCGGCCTCGAGAGATGAAGCTTTACCATTGATTCAGCTGGGCATCCCATACCGCGGTCGATAATCAGACGCCGGAGAGGACATCGGGATGGGACAAGCTGTAGGAAAGACACGAGACCATCGTCGTCGAAGAAGGATAGACGAGTTGTGTTCGTGATCCATCCAATATCTTAGCTTTCGATACTCTACCACCAAATCCATGACCGCGTTTCTGAAGTTGGGTGCAAGAAGAAACTCAGCGAGGGCGGGCGTAGCACTTGACCAGCTGGCTCCATTGCGCGATCAATTCTTCTCTGCGCTACGTCGCGTCTTCTCAAGAAGCTTCCAACATGTCAAAACTGTATTCGTACTCGACCTCCCCAGAAACCAAGCACGCCGAGAATACAGCACAAATCGAATCATCATCTTCAGCCAAGTATAATCAACCATGTTGCTCCGGCACGACTCCCAACACTAGTTGCAAGCGGCTTCGACAAATTGCGACTCGGCGCAAATGAGATCCTCTGATACGTAGAATTCCTCTCTCTTTCTTGCTGCCGCCGAGCTTGATTGCCAGATTAGGTAGGTAGTCAGTGGTGTTTTCTGGTGTGTGCCTCCACGGCAACAGTGGTCGCCAAACGTGTCGCGCTGGAGCGCCGAGTACTCACGATGAACCTTGATGGGGATCGAAAAGCTGGACCTGGTTCAAGTGAGCTTACAGAAGCGGCGGAATAGCCAGGAGGCGGCCGACCTCGAAATCTTGCGCTTCTGCGCTGGTGGTCCATTGGTGGGTGGACGTGCGGCTCCTCAGACGCCCATTTGGACGAGCAGGTGGGCGCCGCTATGAATTCGATATGTAGATTTATGTGAGATGTCGAGGTGTTGTAGAGGTCATCAAAGTCAAGTTCGAGGTTGAGTCCGCCCGGATGATTAAGATGACAAGTCACGACATTAAGCATATTCGTCCCTGTCGAGCCAGCACGTGGATGGGACGCCAATGTAAAGCCAGTGACGAAAGAGCCTTTCCTTCTTCAGTCTTTACCCGTTGTGAACCTTGAAAGAAAGGACATCGTGAGATGTATTGAAGCAATTTACATCGGATATCGAGACTTCTGACAAGCCAAGAAATAAACCGGAGGATATACAACACATTGTACAGATCACCCTCGTCATACGTACATAGAGCACACATTAAAACGCCGCCCCAATCCTGCTCCCATCGCTATCTCCCCTACCCCCAGGCCCAGCCCCAGCTCCCCTTCCAAAGAGTAGCATACTCTGCCTCGTCCCTACCTTCTCTCGCACCTCCGGCTTCTGCGTCTGTACCACCTTCATCGTAGGTAACGGACTCACCCGCCTAAATCTCTCCTCCAGCCACGTTGTAAACTTCGGTGGGCGGTCTGGGTATTCAGAGTCGTAAGTCAGGGCGTTCTTACGCACCATTACCGAGCCATCGCTCGTTCCACCACCCGTCCTCGGCCCATCTCTAGACATACCGTTTGAAAAGCCGGGGGTGGTGACGAGGGTCGCGGATCGTGACTGGAGCACATCTTCCCGGTCTTCGTCTGGGCTCCAGGTTTGGCGGCCCGGGGAGTTGCTAGAGTTGTTCTTATCGAGGCTTGTGGTTGGGAAGGCGCTCGCTCGCTCGAGGGTTTGGGGGGCCTGGCCGACAGCCCAGGTCTTCCTGGGTCCGACAGGAACGGGTAAATCCATGGATCGACTTGCGCGGATGTTGTCGGCGCCTCGCATCCAGGTCTGTCTTTCTCTATCCGCTGCACTGACACGGTCATTGTTCCTCGGCCAGTAGCTTTCCCCGCGCTCTCTTTCTCGCTCCCTCACCATAGATCTGTTCCTACTATTCCGCTCGCTTTGGACTCGACTCCACTGTGTTCTGTTTGCCGGAAACGGGAAATCAGATAGAGAAGGCCCGATGGAAGAGACATCGCTCCCGGGCCCTTTTCGCCGGATAGAGGATTTGAGCTCGTCTTGCTTTCTCAGCCTGCGCAAACGCCGGTACCGGATTATCAGATAGAATGAGAGCACTGAGATGAGCGACGAGCCAAGGATGGCAAAGGTTACGACGAGGACGAATGTTGTACTGTTCATAGCTGAGATGCGGGACGCTGCTATTGTAGCGCTCGCTTGGGACTGTTGGGGTCAGTTTCGCTATTCGATTCCGGGATGAGGAGAGACTCACAGCTATAGCTGAAATTGTAGCTTCAGCCTGGGCTATTGCATTCGTGGCCGTTGCTTGAGAGTGTCAGAAGTTGCGCTGAAACCATGAAAGTGGACAAACCTCTTGCATCACTAGCCACAGCATTCGCGCTCGCATTCGCGCTCGCAATCGCCTGGCTAGCGCTTGCCTAGATGATAATTCAGTAAAATGTAGTTCTGGGAGCTCGGAGTCGGTACAAAATTGCAAGTTCATGATTTCTGCTTGACAAACATACAACCAGGGCATGGTGGACTGACCTGGACCGAAGTGAGCGCGTTGTTCGCAGACAACACATTGGCGCTGGCGCTCGACTGGACTGCAGCAATAGCCTGGTTTGCACTGGTCTGCGCTGAAGCAATCCCAGCAGTAAGACTATTCTTAGCCTCTAGAGCGGCCTGGGACTGTATTGAAGCGCTCTGCAAAGCCTGTTGTACTGACTGGGAGGCCGAGCCGAGGGCTTGCTGAGCAGATTGTCTGGCACTATTCAAGGCATTGTTGGCGGCCGTGAGAGCCGCTTGGAGTGAAGCAATTGAAGCCGCGGCTGTAGCGGACGCGTTCGCAAGAGATGCCGATAATTGATTAGATACACTCAAGGCGCCAGCTGCAAACCCAGCACTGGAGGCTGATGTGACGAGGGAGCTGCATTCAGGCAGGAGAGCCAGCGGGTTTGGGAGAGAAGAAGGCCCTGCGACTCTTCTGCTGAGGGTTGGCGGTGGTGTCACCAGACTTGATGGAGGATGACTGATCGACCTTGTCGGGGTGTCACGAGGGGGCAGATTTGCAAGCCATCTTCGATGCTCTGAGATAATCTCGTTCGTCCTCGCTACAATGTTTCCTATCGCTTCAGGTGGGAGTAATTGAATAATTGCTGGACCTGCCGATTGAACATGTGGTGATGAGCCCGGTCCATTGTCAGATTCGTCGGACATAGTCATAGTAGACATTATATTAATTACGGTTGGATGACAAACGGCATGATGTCGCGCAAGCGGCTCTGGTAATATCGATATCTCTTGTCTCCCAAGACAGGAGGAAATCGAGCTTTTGGAAACCCGTGAACTCCGCGCAACGAATGGAAGAAGAGAAAAGACGAAAACTAAGTGATAAAGAAAGAAAGGAAAAATTCAACGAACTCGGTCGATATGGCCGTCCCGCGGAAAATGTTGACGAGTAACAAAGGGGAAAGATGTGAGGACCTGAGGAGCTGAGGACTGGACAGCAAAGTGGTCGGGTCTCACCACCAGTCAAAGTCCCTTGTAGCAGACTGCCTAAGAGACGGACGCCCGTACAGTTACGCGACGCCTAATAGGCTTAAGGGATCGGCGAATTGAGATCGGACATCCATGATGCGACTCGCTCAGATCTCACTCTGCCGCGTGGTGGTCCACATGCGGCGCTTTCTGACGTTGGGAGACATTGAAACACCTCTGATGCAGGCTTTGAGCCAAGTGACGTAGAGTTAACCATCTCGGTCTTCTCTCTCAAGTCGAGTCGAAGAAACATCCGAAGATATTCCCCCGTGGGGTTGTGCTATGAGCCGTTGATTCCAAGAGGAAGATGTCGTTGGGAAGTTTCGGTCGGCTAGCCGAGATTCAGTGAACCCCTACTGTACCAAAGTATTTGGAAATATACACGTGACCAGAGGAGCCCATTGTATGTTTGATCATAGGTACCGGTAGTCATGGCCATGGAACAAGAGGGTCCAGGCATTAGCAAGTGTTATGAATAATCTCAGACGCAAAGAACTATTAGCAGAAGCTCGGATATTCTATCAAAACGCTTTCAAGGTATCATCGTCGTCATTTCGTGAAACCAGACAGATCGTCGGCTCAGTTCCACTGGGCGAAGTCTCCATCACGACCCGCCAGCAGAGGCATTTTGGAGTGGTTGATTTGTCAATGTGGTGGTTTAGTAAAGACCTCAGGGTACTATCGGAGTGGCCGGACTCCGCGCCGCTGTGAGATAGAGCTGAGCTGAGCTGAGGAGTTGTACAACCTCCAAGCTCTCCCAAGCCATACAGTATCTTCGTTACGAGGACTATATAAATCTTCTCGCAATGGCCCATAGTTTTCATCTCTTGATCTTCTAGTCCTCCTCAGGCGCTGGCCTTATTGTCACGAGCGTATGTATGGCTTGCTTTCAGATAATATTTTTATGACTGATGGACTGCACTTATATTGAAAGCAGTCGACTCGCAGGATTGTGAAGATGTAAACATGAAGTTTCACCTCGGCTCAGACCGATTCCACTCTCGTTTTGATAATCACGTGTGCACTCGGTCTATCTCTTACACTTATTGAGTAATGATGTTAAAAATGACTCAACATAATTTTTTTTTTTAAAAAAAGAGGGCGGGGAGGCTCTTCGCATTAACAAATAGGTAAAATCCATCCATTCTGGTTGGATCACGAACAAAAAACTGCGCAAGAGCCCTAGCTTACGCCGTCAAAGTAGATGGGTAATATACGGAGATCAAAAGACAAAAAGAATACTTAAACGACGACTGCAGGATTTGAACCTACGCTCCCGAAGGAAGTAGATTTCTAGTCTACCGCGTTAACCACTCCGCCAAATCGCCTTGAGTGTCTCTGAATAGATGGATCAATGTTAACGCCGGCGCGGCTTAATTACAACATCAATAAAAAAAAAACACAAAAGTGTGGTGGGCAGCTAATTAGCCGAAGGCCCGAAGAACTTGCTTAGCGGTGACTTGTTTACTTTGCTCTTCCCCACCTCACATTTGTGTATGGCTTAATCTGCCGAAGGAGTACTTTCCCAGAGGCACTGTAACTGGGTTTCTACTGCGCAGCTCTTAACACAAATCTTCTTTCTCCAGCCAGTTGAAAGTTCAATTCCGAATTCTTCCACCTTGACCCCACGCAAATGTACCACTCGTCCACCCGATGTTTCTCAGCATGAACTCTGTGAAAATCACCCCTTCATATATCTTCCTCTCAGTCTTTGCAATCAGGTTATGTATATCAGCCAATGATGAAATCGAATCATTTCCACCCCGATTCCAGGGAAGTGGTTTCGATGCTGTGATGCTACGATGCTAAGGGTAGGAATAATAAACAATCGAGAAATTTCATCAAGAATCGAAAGAATCTGGTTTAAGAATATGAGCGCGCTCCTAGGAATGAGACAAGGAGAACACATTTATAATGTATTGTTAGTTGTAGCCAAAACATGTTGTAGCTCGACAGCAATCTGGTCACTATCCCGCAAAACATGTCATCCATTATAACACGTCGGGAAGATTGTTATTCTAGAAGGTAAGAAGAAACGCTGCCTGGTCTGATTTCGGGCATGATATCCACTTTTGAAAGGGAAAGTAGACACAGAGCACCCGCTTGCAATATTTATCTCATAGTCCAGAGCATTATTCAAACCCTCTCAAATAAAAAGGATTATAAATACTCCATCAATCACTGGATGACACATCAAGGACTTTCCCCATCATTCTCAATTCAAAACCCACGAGGCCGGCTTGCTTACAAAAAGGGAAGCCCAGATCGATTCGGAGTAGCCATCGTGAGAAGCGATACTTCGACAATCTCCGCGGAAGGCGCAAGAGCTGGCCTTGGTCATGGGCGGAAATGCAGCCGTCTTTAATTTTGTATCCTCAAACTTGGCATGTGGAAACTTCAAACAAGCTTCTTCCTCGGATGCGCGTCACCGTTTCGAGGCTCTGCATTTTTATCTGTTCCCTACTTCCGCCTCTTTATCGCCCGCTTGAAAATCCACTGTCGTATAAGATCCCGTTATCAATTTCGGCATTAACTTCCAGCGAGTACGTGATTGTTGAATGAAAGCCACTTGATCATCTAAATTGTCAAAGGTATTGGTCAGTTGGACATGAAATTTCGACCACGCGAAGCAGCAGTGCCAGCGAGCCCAGAGATCAATCAGTTCATGCCAGTGGAAACCCTGTGTTTGGAAAATCCGGAGATCCTTTTCTCTCCTAGAGGATCCTATCGACGATTGAACTCTTCGCACCTTCTTATACTTTTTCTCCCTTCTCCCGATTCGTCCGCCCCCTAACTTCCCCAGCTCTTTATCGATTCGATATTCCTAATATCGCGCAATCGTGCCAGGGAGGTTAATCTTAATGTAGGCAATCCTTAGATCCATGGATACCTCTGACTCTGACCAAAATCATACGCAGGAGCTCGAATGTATACTATGAATTTCGAAGATCAGAAAAAAAAGGCAATCTTTCTGGAGAAGTGGAGGACCTCTTCTATTCACGGAGCAAGGCGCCCTCCTAATCAGTACCTTTCTCCGCAATACCGCTTTTACCTTTTCATCACCCCTGAGAATCACCAATACAGAGTGTGAACTCTGCGAGCCTAGCAGTGGGACATATACGCAACCTGTCGCGATCTAACCGCTTTTCTTTCTTCCTTTCTTCTTCTTCGCTGCCAGAATTCCAAGCGTTGCCAGCTGTATATCCCATCTCCCCACTCGTATTGCTCAGATCGATTAGCCCATCCTTACAACAAATATCAGACCGACACGACCTTGAGAACAATTGCCATACTCCTCCGTACGTATTTCTGTACACGCTCCCACCAAACACTCCGTTCGACTTAGATTCGCAAACTAAAACCAAAAATTGGCCTTCTTATCACTATCACTCTCCTCCAGGTACTACGTACGTACGAATTTGCGAACCATCAACTTTGAATTTTTGGCTCCTCTCAAAGGGCTCATCATCCCATCCCATCAATCAATCAATCAATCAATCTGCAAACGAAAAAGATAAAAAGAACGAACAAATTAAACCCCCCACCCCCTCCCCCCAAAAACGATTCAATCATCATTCAAATAAATATGTACTTGCATAATTAATTAATAATAGCAAGAATAAGCTCGGAAACACATACTAACTGTACAAGTACGGTACACACCAAGAACCCAAAGACGCCAGCGAGGGACGCGCATTTGGTGTACCGGTACTGTACGTACGACTGGCCAAGAAAACTAAAAAATTGAGGTTAAAATGACTTCTTTCTTCCACGCAAACCCAACACTCACTACGCGCCTAACCAGAACCCAAAACGCCAAAGCCATAATCGGGTTCGATCATCATCCAACCGGGTAAGCTAAGCTAAATGGAAAACCAAACTGGCTTGCTTTTCTTTCTTTCTTTCCCTCCCAGTCCATTCATCCTAAGCAAAACATCCTTTCTCTCTCTCTACTTTTGTGACAGCCGCTCCCCAGGGCTTCAGGATTTCTCGTTACTGCTCTCATCCTCATCATCCTCATCGTCAGATCCAATAACGTGTCTCCCCTCGTCATCGCTCTCCTCGTACAGCTTCTTCTCCCGCTCATCCCCACCTTCCACGCCATCCGCATACTCGCCCTCACTCTCGTCCTCGCTGCCCGCCGCGAACGCATCGTAGAGCTCGCCTGCTCGTCTCTTCCCGCCTTTCTTGCCCATCTTGCCAGCGCCGCTGAGGCCGTCCGCTTCATCTTCTTCCAGGAGGTCGAATTCCCACTCGTCGCGGGGATTGTTACGTAGACGCTGGCGGCGCGCCATATACATGTAGATACCGAGGCCAGAGCAGAACAGAACGATGAGTGCTGCTGCACCGTAAATCCAGACTTGGGTCTTGGAGGAGACGCCGAAAGTGGGGAAGAATGGTGGAAGCCAGCCGGACGGAGGAGTAACCGATGCGGAAGGCGTGGGCGACGATGTAGGGGTCGTTTCGCCGGCACTGCTGGTGGGTTTGGTGGGGCGGTCGGGGTGGTCGGATGGGTTTGGCACGAGAGGGGTGGTGGGGATGGAGACGGGCGGTATGGTGGTGGTCGTGCCGGCGATGGTGGTGGTGGCGATTACTTCGGCATGGTCGTCGTCATCCTCGTCGTTCGGCATTGGTAGATGGGCTGCCTTGGAGGCGTCAATACACTCACCCCAGAGCTTGAGGTGCCAGTCGATGAATTTCCCGCTGTGCTCGTTTACGATGGTATCCTTAAGAATAATGGTCCACTTTCCAACACCAGACTCCCCCCTAGCTAGTGTTAGCAGGAATCCAAAACCAGAGATACTTTCAGAATGATCATACCAGTGAACCACGGACATGAAAGTCCAATCATTATAGCCTTCCGCTGCAGAATCCAAACGACGCGTGGCTGAAAGATGACTGGTGATGGTATCAGGACTAACAAGGTCGACACTAAGATCACCTCTTCTAGTGTGATTGACATTCATGGTAACCGTGACATGCTCAACACGCTCGAGATTTGCATCCTGGAGCATCTGCGGTGTAACTTCAAACGATACAGCCAACCCCTCATCTCCTTGCGGTATATCCTGATTGACATGGATCCAAGGCGAGTAAAACCAAGCTTGTGGCTTAACGTTCTTCCATGTCTTGGCGGCCTCAATAGTTGCCCAGGAATCTATCTTCCCATACCCAAAAGTATGACTGAATTTTCGCCCGATGGTCGTATTTTGCCACCCTTGATGTTCCAAGTTGAAGGGCAGGGCAGTCATCATGACCAGCCATTGTAAATCTCTCCATGTCAGATCTGGACGAATTTGCAACACGAGGGCAAATATGCCGGCTGCGAGGGGAGCAGCAGCGGAAGTACCACCGTGACCATTGTAGCATTGGTTCGCCCCGACATCAGTTCCGTGCTTCAGAGTGTGTCAGTGTGGTCTAGCTCTTGCAAGGTTGTTTGACTTACAATAGCGTCTCCACTTCCACTGCTGTATGTTACAACCAACTGAGCTGAGCACTTTTCAGAGTAGTATGGGTGGTTCCCCTTTCGATCGACAGCTCCAATAGTTATACTGTAGATACTGTTGGTATATCCGTCAAAGTTGCAGTTGTCCTCATTCGCGGCGCCATTTCCCGAGGCAAAAACGTAGATGGATCCGAGGCCTCCCCGGCCCTTTTGAACCGCATTAAGCATCGCTCTCTTGATGAGTATCCCGGGCGCATCCATAGATCTTCCATCGTCCGGGGGTCCCCAAGAACAAGAGTAGATATGGTTCTTTTGGAACGCGTAGTTCATTGCCACTGCCTCGTCGGCATCAGTAATCAGCTTCGAAAGAATTCTGATTCCAGCAACCTTCGAGTCCCATGCAACTCCAACTCCGCAGACGTTGTTCTTGACTGCCGAGACCTCTCCTGCACAGCGTGTCCCATGTCTGTCGTCTGATAGTCGTGGCTTGGGTTCGACGGTGTTGTCGTTGAAATCGTAGGATCCTTCAGCAAAGTAGTTATCTTTCAGATCGTCACTGTACATATCCAACCCATCGTCCACGATCGCCACTGTTGCATTATGGCCAGTAATGCCTTGCAACCACACATCCGTCACGTTGACATCATGCCCGAGCTGGACCGGGTTGTAAAGATGCCACTGCTCGTGGAAGATGGGATCCTGGATATCTAACGCCTTCATGACTTCTTGCTGCTTCGCCACTGCTGCATCCACGGGGGGTTCATGACGCCCTGAAAAGGGCGCAGGGTATCCGGCCGGCCGAGGGGGTATTATCCCTCGTTTCTCCATCCGCGGCTTCGTCTTCTGCTTCTGTGACAACCGCACTCCATCTAGGATATCGGGCTGGCCCATGGACCGCTTCTTCCGCCGTAACTCCAAAGCTGTGCGTACCACGTCCTCGTCCTGCTTGTGGCTAGAAAAGATATGATGGTCCTCCAGTTGTCCCAGTTGGCCTTCATGCGTTAAGCCCAATTTGACAGCTATCTCTGTTGGACGGATCGTAGGATCGAGGTGGAGGACATAGTAGTCCTGCGCGTTGTAGTCCCGAGGCTGTAGATTCGAGGCTGATGCGAGGTAACCCAGGCCGAGAAGGCCCAGGGTGGATGCGGATATTCTCATTTTGGAGGCAGATGTACGCAGAAAGTAAAATGGGAATGGTTCTCGAAAGAGGGGATCGAGGGTTAAGAAAGGCAAGCTTTGCGCATTGATGATTCGTCAGTTGTTTCAATATCGTGTCCCTTGTGCCCTTGTGGCTAGTCGCTGGTGGAAGCGACCTACGGCTGTTCGAGGAGAGGGAAGGGTTTCGATTTGGGAGACTATTGTGAATCGGCGCACATAATCTTTTGGGGGGGTGGTGGAGGGGGGCGGCAAGGTGAATGGATTGCGGATTGATTGTAAAGAGAGTGAGCGCCGTCTGGTGGAAAGTTCGTAGTTACAGGACTGTATGTAGCGTATTCGTACGGAGGTATGCTGTTCTAAAGACACATAAGCTCATGGCACGGCATTGTCATCCCTGGCAGATCGGGCTTTGAAAGAACTCAAAACCCTTACCGACCGATATTCCAACATTCCAACAGTCAACTACTGCTGATGCTCGAGCCACACTTGTGGAGCGCCACAGCTGGACCTGACTTGGAAATCCGTCCGTATCGAAAAGTCGAAAAGTCGAAAAGTCACAAATCAAAGACAACGTGTAGAAGGGCTCGAAATACGTGGCACCAGTTTTGCTCGACTCTCTCCCTCCATATGGCACCTACTCACTCACGCATCATTTAAGCGCTAGGTATATCATCTATCTATCTAGGTATCTATCTTACTTATTATTACGACCTTGATTGACAAGGATACCTATCTCCTCCACCAACCTCCAACCTTCTCTCTTGTTCTGTCGCTCTCCCAACCTCCTCATAACGAAAATCTATTCTTCTCTATCCAATTTTGCACGTCCTTCTGCGTCCTCGGTTCACTATTGACATGTTGCTACCCGTGTCTGTTCTCAGCTAATTATGCGGCTGCGAAACTGGATATCGCTATTGTCTATTGTCTCTTGTCTGCCATAGCCCACCGTTCGTATTCTTGAGCTTTGATCGTTGACGAAGAACGCCCTGTGAGCTGTCCAGACACAACTGCCGTCTTTCGGAACCAATGGATAGTTCCTAATAACGCCCTCTACAGCTCGAAAAAGTATCTCGGCTTCAGAATAATATTGCGACGCCCGCTCACTCTATCCGATAAAGATGTCAGCACCGTATTGGGGGCAGCTTCCTCCCCCAAATATCACTCGAGGGCGCATAACTAGACGAGAAGAAGAGCAGGCTTCAAGAGCAAACAACAACCTCTCGTGTGATACCAACATGGCAGGCGATCGTTGGACCAGTGATCATCCATCCCAACCGAATCCGAGACAGAACCGGTACTCGACGCAAACTGATGCGCCTACAATATCGACTCAAAGTCCTTTCGCGTCCCCAATAGCTTCGGAGTTCCGTGGCGACGGACTGGCTCCTCGCCCTTCTTCCTTCCAGCCTGGTACATCGGATGCCGCATACAATGGGGATTACTTAGAGAAGAGAAGGCGGAGGCAGAGCCGGGAGCAGTACGAAGACCCATCGTCAGCACCTCCGCCGGCCGCTCCGGAAGTTCCTCGAGCTCCGCCCCTCAGCTACAAGCAACCATATAGCAACGCTGGAGGATCTCAAGCACTAGGGCGGTCCAGGTCAAAGAGGAGATCAGAGGGGCCCGTAGGGAGTCGCCCCGAGAACTACGGCATTGAGGAGGGCGCAAACGCAAACAGGCGAGAACCAAACAACGGAAAAGGAGCTGTCCCGTTTAGTGGAAGCCGGAGAAAGGGATCCATCTCGCAACCACGAAAAAGCTCGCTATCTGAAGCGGAAGAGCTACGGCGCAGAGAGTGGGCACCAGATCGGTCTCCTCTGCAGAGGCTAGAGCTGACGCTTGACAGCATCACCAAGGAGGAGAAAAGAGCTCGGGTTGAGGAAGCAGAAGTTCTAGCGAGGGAATCGAAAGCTAGTCGTGGTGGTGAGAGGCCGATTCAGAACTCGGTTCGCTTCCGGAATCGACCCGTCGCAAAGGCACCCGAGCCGATATCTCAACCTGAATTGGCTCGAAAATTGAGGACCAAGCAGAAAGATCAGCTACAACGCAGTGGTACGGTTGAGATAAGGACATCTACTCGCGATCCGACCCATCTCCCTGCGGCAGCAGCTGCAGCGGCGGCCGGTGATACTGGTGTAAGCCGGAGTGGAAGCAATAAACTCAGAAAGAAGCCACCCGGAGACCTGTGGGTTGACCAGAGATTGGAGGCCGAAGAACAATATCCTACAATTGCTGCAACTCGAAAGCAATCCTTCGATAGCCGTCAGCAGCCTGCGACCGGGAGGCCTGCTAGAAACCATTCGCAGAGCATTATAGATAAAGAACTTCCCGTGCTACCTCGGGACGCTGCACAAAATCCGGCGCAGGATAATGAAATTAACCTGCTTGATTTTGACTCGTTCGAGAAGACGGGCAAGCCAGTACGGAACGGAACGCTGAGCAAGCTCGAGCGATTGACGGGTTCTTCTAATCCGCCCGTGAGGACTGTACCTGCTGGAGATGACATTCGTGCGAAGCGAGTAGTGGTGAGTCGTGTTTTTCCCAAGCAACCTCGCTCCCGATATCTTGGCCCAGTTGCTGCTGGCGGCATCTCTCTGAACCTGGAGCATATCATGATTTCGAAGAATGCAGATGCCTCTGTCTAAACCCATGTCGCTGCGATGCTGCGAAATCGTTCAGTCGCCGTTTCACTACTAACTCAGTGTAAGGTCAACGGTGGTCAATACGATGTTCCACCAACGGCAACCGGCCCTGCCCCTGCCCCAGCCATAGCCCATTCCACTGATTACCACCATCGCCTATCAAAGGTTTTTCACCAAAAACACGAGAACATCCCCGGGCAGGGTGTCTACGTTCCATCTAGACATTTCGACGAGTGGAAAAAGGGCGGAGTTGCTCTCTTGTCTGGAACATTATTGGACCTCGGTGCCAAGGAACAGACTGAGGAAGAGAAGGACAGAGCATGGTGGGAGGCTGGAAATGCTGGCACCCGACGACGCAGCAGTGTTAAGCAACGAAAAGCAGAAGCGTATGACGGAGAATATGACGATAACGGTATGCAAGAACTTCAATACCAACCTTCTTTTCCTGGAGAGTGCGAAGGATGCGTTTCCGAGCGGGCGGCTCGAGAGAATGCAGTCAATCTACGCACTCAGCAATTTGATGGTTACCACAAGAGGACCTGGGTCAGGAGACATGTTGTGCGGGAAGAGAAGGCAGAATCTGCAGACGAAGAGTTGTTTGCGCCGAGATCTCCAACCTTCCTAAGTCCTGACCAAAATCTATCTCAAGAATCTCCTACCTCCTCTCTTATTAAGCCTCATTTGCTAACCTGTGAGGTGCGGACTGTCCGCGTTCGTCCTGATATAGCTCCTACAAGATTCAAACCGCCTTTGTTCCTCAAGAGCGGACCAATGCTACGTTATTGTGGCTTACGCAATGACAAGGTCAAGAGTCGTTCGAACCCAAATAAGGTCATGGCTGACCGTGAGATCTGGAGAGGATCCATCATGATCGTCTCGCAAGATCAACACTCTTCGTACGAACTTGCTCCGACGCTAAGACTCTTTCTGCAGCCGGTTGATCTGTTGCCGCCTCCGCCTGCACAATTCGATGGTCGAATCGATGACCTTGCTCCAGAATATGTAGATCCGCTTGCTGGGCTTCCCAAGCTTGGAAGGGATGGCAGGACACTTTACATTCGGCCCATTGTAAGTATTGAGGAGCCCAGCTTTTATCGTTGTCCAAATCCTTTTGGTGGCTTTGTGGACAGCCAAGTCGGTTAGCTGCTAATTCCTCTACCTAGGATCATCTGCCAGAAGTAAAGGACCTTTCCAGAGAAGAGTCTGACGATGGGCTCTTTGAGATGTCCAGAAGTCCCCTCGACGGCACCGCAGACCGGAATCCCGCATGCAAAAAATCACACTACGATGGCGAAAAGGCTGGGAAATACAAAGAAGTCCGAGGGTTTCGACTGCATGCCGAGCATGGCATGACTTTCTGGAGATTCAATATCGAGATTGAGCTCCGAGAAAAGCAACAGCGTATCGCTTATCGCATCAATCGAGGACCTGCGACTGGCTTTTGGGTCCCTGCTCGCGGAAAGGCGATGAACATTATGTTCTCCAGCTGCAATGGATTTAGCCACGACGTTGACCCTAATCTATTCTGTGGCCCTGATCCAATGTGGAGGGATGTGTTGAATACGCATCAAACTCAGCCGTTCCATGTTATGCTCGGTGGCGGCGATCAAATATATAATGATCGTGTCATGGAAGAGACAGTGATCTTCAAACAGTGGCTGGATCTCAAGGACCGACACCACAAGGAGAAACTACCCTTCACGCCTGAACTCCAGCGTGAATTGGAACTTTTCTACCTCAATCGATACAGCATGTGGTTTTCCCAGGGCTTATTTGGTGTAGCTGTCTCTCAGATACCGATGATCAACATCTATGACGACCACGATATCATTGATGGATTTGGGTCCTATCCTAACAGCTACATGTGCTGTCCGATCTTTTCTGGGCTTGGATCTGTGGCTTTCAAGTATTATATGCTATTCCAGCATCAGAGTAGCATTGATGAGGGAGAGGAGACTGAGCCTAGTTGGATTTTGGGGACGCAGCCTGGGCCGTACATCAAAGAGCTAAGTAGGAGTATTTTCACCACTCTCGGTCGCGAGATCGCGTTCCTTGGTCTCGATTGCCGCACTGAGAGGATGTACGATGAGATCGTGAGTGCCGAGACGTACCATAAGATCTTCGACAGACTTGAGAAGGAAATCATCAAGGGCGAAACTAAACATTTGATTGTGTTGGTTGGCGTCCCCGTTGCTTACCCGAGATTGGTTTGGTTGGAAAACATGTGAGTTCTTCTGTGTGATACTTGGAAGTCTTTTGCTCATATGAGTAGTTTAACATCCAGACTTATGGAACCAGTCAAAGCTCTGAGCAGAGCTGGTGTCTTGGGGAAGAAGCTTCTCAACCACATGGATGGAGGAGTTGAGATCCTTGACGACCTTGACGATCATTGGACGGCGAAGCATCACAAAGAAGAGCGAAAATGGTTTATTCAAGAGCTTCAGGACTTGGCCGCCATCAAGTCCGTGCGTGTCACTCTGCTTGGGTATGTCACATTCTTCGACTCGCGCTTATGGTACTGACTTCACAGGGGCGATGTGCATCTTGGCGCTATCGGACAGTTTTACTCGAATCCCCAACTTGGGATTCCTAAAGACAAGGATTTTCGCTACATGCCTAATGTCATATCTTCAGCAATCGCTAACTCGCCTCCGCCGGACACCCTTGCCGATCTCCTCAACAAGCGGAATAAAGTGCATCATCTGGATGCAGAGACTGATGAGGACATGATTCCCATCTTCACACACGATGTAAATGGCAAGCCACGAAATAATAAGCGTCTACTCAACCGGAGGAACTGGTGTTCGATCCGCCTCTACGATCCCGAACTCACACCTCCCCCAACCCCACAGTCAGATGGTCCACCTTCACCACCCCCTAGAGATGGCCTTCTTCGCAGACTATCAACATCGGCTCGAGGCCCAAGCTACCGTCCCGACGCCACAAAACCCCCGTCCCGTGCAGGTATTGTCGGCAAACGACAGACCACTGCACCACCAATCTCCAACCCAGGCTTCTTCGCCCGACGTAACTCAACCTCCCGTCGGGCATCTACGGATTCCGGGCGGCCACCAAGCGTACTTACCAGGACCCTCTCTCTGTCCCGCAAAGACTTCATCCCAGGTAACCTCTTCCGCCGCGACAGTAAGCGTAAGAAACCCGATTCCGGCGGTATAAACGGGTACGGTGCCTCCAGCGACGAGGAAGACTCGTATTACTACGAGCCCCAGGCCCATCGTTCCGGTCTCCGCGGTGGTAGCGGTGGTCGCAACTCCAACGACGACGAGGGATATTTCCCATCTATGCCAGCCCCTACTGCACGCGTACCAACCCATCCAGTTTCTAATGCGCCTACTTCTGTGGCGGGTAGTGATGCGAAGCAAGGATTGGAGAGGATGAAGTTCCATCGGACACCGTCGGGGGTGTCCGCCAAGCAGATGAAGAAGGCGCCGCACTTGACGAGGGCTGTGAACATTGAAGGGGGACTGGACGTCTGTTTGAATATGGAAGTTAATCCAAAAGATCCGGCGGGTATTACGATGCCGTATAGACTACTGGTGCCGAGACTGTGGCATGAGGAGCCGTTGCCTGCTGTGAGGGGTGAGAGCAGGAGTCGGGGGAGTAGCATGGAGAGAGGGAGCAGTGAGAGTGGTAGCGAGTGGGATGGTGAGGCACAGTTGCAGCAAAGACAGCTTGGAAAACCGAGTCGGTGGGAGAAGTTTGTGGGGAAGGGGAATTCGAGGGAAGTTTAGTGTGACGAGATGGGGTGGTTCTCGAAGGGTGGGATCGTTATCTTGATTTGATGATGGAGCACGCGAGCGAGCGAGCAAAGTGGCGAGTATACCCTTTTTTGTATATCTGGTTTTTTTTTTAATGGAAAAAACCCCCTCACTCCTTCGACCTTATCTTTTTTCTGGTCCGCAGTATACTATTTTCTGGTTGTTGATATGAAATTTCAAGGGGGACTTCGCTTGCTGGGTGCCCTCTGCTTTGGGCGTGTTTACTTTCCTCTCTCGCTTGGTTTCACACACACACTCTGTCTCTACGGAGTATTGATTAACGGCGCTACTGTCTCCTCTTAGTTCATCCTTCCTCAAGCTTCCATTGACATTTGTTTCCTTTCTTTGGCTCACCGAGGTCCTTATTTTTTTTTTTTTTTCTTCTTCGGGTTTTGCTAAAATCACGGATGAACGCGATCTCTTATCGGTGGTTGATTTCTTCATCGCATGCCGTCCGTCAATGTCTCTCTCTGCCTGCCCTATTCTTTTGCAATGACGGGGGAAAATTCGATGCGTGGATCGTACTGTATGTATGGTGTATGAGAGGCTGGTCGGGAGTCGGGAGTGGGACGTGTCTCACCACACAAAGGAATTGAGGGAGGCAGGGGGTTTGCGCTAGTGTGCATTCCTCGGACAAGTGTTTCTCTTTCCTCTTCTTTTGTTCTGTTTTCGCAGGCCACTGACCTAACCTTTACCTCATGATCGTATGCTGCTTGATTTGAGATTGATTGGATGGTATAGTATCTTTGGTTTCGGACTCACGGGAGACGAAAGACGAAAGACGAAAGGCTGGGAGGATTGGATAGGATAGGAGGAGGGCTGAAAGCTCTTTCGTAGACGAGATGGGAAAGAGAGATCGATCTGCTAAGAAGAAGGAGAAGTGGGCGACGGATGTTGATAATTGGGAGAAGCTTGATGCTGGCGGCGGGGATGGGGGGGCTGACGGCGCGGAGAGCGTTGCCAGTCCTGGCAAGGACGGGGAGGAGGTGCCTGAAGGCGAGGCCACGCTCCGGGAAGTCGGAGTCGGCAGCTCAGTGGCGGTGGAGGAGGACCCGACTGGTCGAGAGGAGAGGAAGAAATCTGCGGCAGTCGAGCCTCTGCTTGTTGAGGGCCTGAAGGGCTCGAAGGAGATGGGTGGGATGGGGATTGAGGGGGGTAATGAGGAGGAGGAGGAGCTGGGTGGACTGGAGAGGCCGCCTCCTCTGGTTCTGAGCTGGTTTGAGGCGTGGAAGCGGGAGCGGGCTGGTCTTGGTCCATGTCATTCCCCAAATGCGGAACTCGAGAGTCGGGATGCAGATGGAGGGCGCAAGATTTCCATTGCGAAGGCGTATGAGAGTCTGGTGGCGGGAGAGGAGAGGAGGGAGAGTGCGGAAGTTCTTCCGCTGAAGTTAGGGAAGAAGAGGGAGGAGGAGCGGATGGGGATGTTTGGGGGGTGGAGTGAGGCGGGTGTTGAGAGTGGAAAGGGTACGTCGGTGGATAATATTGGGGGTGAGGATAAGGAGAAGAGGATCAGTGGGAAGAAGGGGGTTCAGCCGAAGAATATTCTCATTCCGCCTGGGGGGACGGATGAAGCTCGGCTCGGTGGTGGGGGACTCTTGTCACGGTCGGTACGTGCTATGATTCATCTATTATCTATGTGATGGGTTTGGAGTTAGGGCTAATGATGGTAGTCCGGTTGTCCGATTGCTATCAGGATCATCATCAACGCGGCGGAGACCTACCTTCATTGTAAGTGTGAGCGGGCTGGGTCCATTCCCCCGAGTCCTTCCCTTATGGCAATGGCTAACCATTCCTAGGGGTCGAAAGCTCTCGTGGCCATAAGAATGATAAGCTCCCCGACTCTCTGATCATGGATAGTCAAGCTTCGCGGGAGCGCTTCGATCTTGTGATGGCCCATCTCGACGAAGCGCGATGCAATGCCACGAGCCCACTGTCCCCCATCGACGACGATAAGCCCGACAACACCCCGGGCCCTGAGATACCCGAGGACCTCAACGCGGAGTTCGGAGAGCTCTACGTAGAATGCCAGCGGTACGTCGACGACAAGATGGCAGGCTTGGCGGCCGTCTCGCAGTCCGAGATCCGGGACATGCATCGAGAGATCATGGACTGGTATCGCAAGATGGTGATGGCCGGTACCGACGACCAGGATTTCTCCAAGACGGATGAAAAGACGAGGGAAGCAGAGAGGCAGATGCGCATCTTGTTGAGGAGGATGTTTGATGGGTTTGCGCACCACCATGGGGTTCTGAAGCAATTGGGGAACAATGATCAAGAGGCGCCGATTGCTGGATATAAGAGGGTCATCGAGGCAGCTGAAGACTCGATCCCGTATTTCAGGGTGTTCTCGACGGTTGGGAGGTTCGTTGCCGCGATTGCGGTGATCTTCGTGCTTCTCGCTTCGGCCGATTGGTTTATCAACACCTGGATACCGTGGTTATTTTCTCTCACAAGCAAAGGGGTTTCGCCAAACCGCTTTGCGCTGCCTGATTATCAGTCAAAGCCAGACTCGATATCGTGGGCTCCTTCTTTCGAGAGCTCGCTGGAGACATGCGGGAAACAGCTCGGAACGACCAAGAAGTTCTACGACGCGGCAAACGCCCACACCTTCACTGTTCTCGGCGGACTCCACAATCTGACCCGGAAATTCACGTCAGATACCGAGGGCCTGGCTCTGAAATCCGTGTGGTCGGTTGTGGCGAGCCTCACTCCGCTCGCCAGACTCCTGGGTAGCACGCCGCTGGGGGAGACGCGAGAAGCGATCCACACCACGGCCACGAAATACCTGGACGAGGTTGGACGGCTGACGTCGCATATTCCTGCGTCTCGACGCACGCTGCAGAACGCACTCGAAGGCCTTGACGCGGGTTTGGCAGCGTTGAAGAGGCGCGAAGGTGACGGGCCCGCGTCGCGGTGTTCTCAGGCTTGGTCGCCTCTCGGTCTCTGGAGGAAAACGGACTGCCAATTCATGACTTCTCTTGTGGCAAGGTCGACGGTGGAGAGGGTCCGGTTCATCAAGGGGGAGGTAGGTGAGATGCAGAAGAGCTCCCAGGAGGGGGTGTTCGAGCTGTACGACCAGATTAAGGGGTGGGAGGGGACGGTGCGAAGAGCTGTTCAGGGTGGGCTTGGCGGGGAGGAGAGCTGGTGGAAGGTTATGGTGGTGGTGAGGGAGGCTGAGAAGGCGTTGGGTAAGGGGGCGGAGGAGATCTTACGCAGGATTCGGGGAGGAGAAGAAGAGAGCGGAGGAGATTTTGTAAGAGCTGTAGGAGGATAATGGGATTAGAGAGGAAGCTGAGGTTGAGCAAGCGGATGATGAAGGTGGATTTCGGTCATTGATGGATCTGGTTTTCTGGGTGGATGTCGAGATTTGATAACAGCTCTCGGCTTTGGTCTTTGGTCTTTGGTTCGCGGTTTTGGATGGAAATGTTGTACACTAAGTAGTCCTTCATCGCTAGTCTCGTTCAGTGTGGTCAGCATTCCCATAATATAACAGGCTATATTATGGACTCTTGAAAAGGTGTGGTCACTTAGACATGATCCATCCTCCCGGTTGCTCTCTAAGCGAGTTCTATAAAGCCCTCGATGGGTACGTCCAACGTAGGAGGAAGCTTAACGAGAAGTTCAGCTTTGAAAAAAGAAAAAATGTTATACTTTCGCCAATCTGGATCTGTTGTCAATATTTCTGTGTCCTGTTTTCATGTTAGCACAAAAGAGAGCTCATCCTCAAGATTGAGTCTTGCCGCAAATACCACCATATATTTCACTATGGAGAAGACAACGTGAGATATAACAATTACCCACTTATGATCAACTTCCTTTCATCGAGATCTATTTGAAAGGGAATACACGCTCCTTGAGCGAGTAAGCTAAGAGCCCTAAACATTATCATCAAGTATATCGAAGGTGAGAAGAACAAAGTGGCAGATACGTTGTCTAAGATTATTTTCCTTAAATAGAACTGCGATGACCGAGATATATCAAGCTACGACTCTGCTTTCGAAAAGCATTGCGACCAAGAGTTTGAAAAGATTGAAAAGGTGGCTACGAAAGACTGACAGAGAAGATAGGAGATCCATAATACCAAGCTGAATTGGACAAGACACACCCCAAGATAATATCACTACTTGCTGGGAAATCAGACGAAGATGTTATACTATACTAATACCAGTGGCAGCAGCATTTGAACTGACAATAACCCTTTGCATGACGACGGTAAACCGATTAATGGTAGTGATGACGTATAGTAGCAAATACCTATAAGAATTCGGGAGGAAATTGATTGTTGTTGTTGTTGTTGTTGTTGTTGTATTTATTTACGTCGGGCGGGTAGCAGGCGAAGCTTGCCGCCCTGAGACCTCCCATAGGGTACGGCGACGTGCTAAGCTAAAGAGTTATATATAAGAAAGCTTTAAAAAGCAATTTAAAGTGTTGTAGCGAAGGTTACTATCGCATGCGCCCTTCTTTTATAGATAAGATAGATCATATAAAAAGAAACCTTTTATCAAAGGAAAACTATAAAAGAGAGAGTCAAGCATGTACAAACTGCTATAGCTAGCTAAAAGCGAGCTGTTTACGTCGCGTAGCGATAAGAATCAAGGCCGGACCGGGGTTAGCCGAGTACAAAAGAAAAAGTGAATACGAAAGCTTAAACTCTAAAAGAAAACTTAATATAATATACTAATATTAAAGAGAATTCCTTCGAAAGCGCATTACGCTATCTTAAAGTCTTAGTCTCGTGACGCGGTTGATCTGACGAGCTTTTATAGCTTAAGTAAAGCGGAGCGTACTCCGTTCTCTTTACCGAAGTAATATCAGTTAGCTAGAGTAGCACTTTTATCGAGTGCAGTGCTTAAAGTAGAACTCCGTAATAGTTAAGAAGGCTTGAAAATCGGCCGGATTGTTGAAGAGACCTTTAAAAAAGTCGTAAGCTTTCGAGATCGTGCTTAAAAAGGTCCGCGATCGGGTCTTGTGAAGCTAAGAAAAGAAGCGTCGTTGCGTAAATCGGCAAAAAGCTATGTGCAAAAAAGACTTGCGTTTACCGCAAGCATACCTTAAGTTAGCGTCGTAGTGCTAGAACCTAGTATAGTATTAAGTAAAGTCTTTATGCGTAGTTCGGATCGCAAGTAGCTTATGTAAGACATATCGTAAGAGTTCTAGCTCCGAAAAAGGCTTGACTAAGTATAAAAAGCTTTATTTCCGATACGAGCGTGAAAGCTTAAGAGAGCTTGCGCTCTATTAAGCTTTTCGTGCTTTATCTTGTATATCGCGGAAAAGTGTGCGGATGCCGCTAATCGTAAGTTGCGATACTAGATTAGTGTCTTAGTCCGGTTTCTTTGCTTTTAAGTCTGCAAGCTTATCCGCCCGTTCGTTTTTTTTAATGCTTATATGCTTTAAAGACTATCGTATTCGCACGTCTCGAGTCTTTATCACTTTTTAGACGTTTAAGAACGCTTATTGCGATAATAAAAAAGCATTTCCGCGAAGACATTAAATAATTGATATGCTATCGATGCAAAGCTAGATCCGTCTCGCCGTTAAATAAGCGTGCACTACTCGTTCGAAGCCTTTCTATGCTTTTATCGCTTTTACGTTAAAAACGTAAAAGCAATCGTTAATAAAGCCGTATTCGTAGCTTGTCTTTTATCGTCTTCGATAGATTACGTACTCGTAGCTTACTAGTCGGTTGCTTTAATCGTATTGTTTTAACTCGTTTAAAAAGATCGTGATGTTTTTTAGCAAGAGCTATTGCTATTATACTTCGAATGCGGCAGCAGCTTCTTTTTTCGTTTTACCGTCCGCCGGGTCTCGTCTGCTTTTTAATGTAAAGTGCGGAAAGACGAAGCGAAAGCGAAGAACGTTTAAGAAGAGAGTTCTTAGTCTTTAGATCTTAGTTTCGAAGATCTTAATAGTCTTTGCGCCGCGACCGCGTTATTAGATCCGTAAAGGTATCCGGCTGATCAATAAGTGCTTATCGTCTACCGTTTTTAATCTTATTGCAAACTTAGCTTTAGCTTCTTTTAAAGCCGCAGTGCCGGAAAAAAGCTTGGCATTTCGAAAGAGCGTTGCCGTTAGTGTCGTTTTTTAGATCGAGAGTACCTCGCGCGCCGCGAAGGTTATCGTCTTATTAATAAGGTCAATTATCTCTTCGACTCGAGCGCTAACAACTTTTAGTTTTCCGGACTTATAGATTAAGCGATAGCGCTTTACGTATTACGCTTCCGTACCGTAAAGCACCGAAAGCAGCACGCAAGTAATAATTGCTTTGCGCAATAAAGCCGCAAAAGGACCGTAGACTGTCTTAACGAGACTGCGGATATGCTAAGCGACTTTCTTAGCTTTAGCCGCCCGTTTTCGGACGTGTCGGCGGAACTTTAGCTTGCGATTAAACTAGACTTTAAGCTATCGTATCGCAAGTGTGTCTTCGTCTTTCGGACCCGTAGTAATGCACAGAATAGTTATAATATCGACTACGAGAGAGAGAGTATACGTGCTTTTCTTGCGAGAGAAGTGCATCATCTCGATCTTTTTCGAAGCGAAAGCGATCTTGTAAGTGTTACTTCATTTAATAATAGAATTGATATCGTTTCGAAGCATAGCGATGTTCCGGTCGAAAGTGCGATTGACGCGATACAAGCAGATATCGTTAGCGTACTCGAAGCGCAATGTCCGGTCTTAGTTAAGTAGCTTAGCTAAGTAAAGCATATAAAGCACCGGTAATAGCGGGAATCTTTGCGGAGTGCCGTATTCTACGTCGTAAGTATCCGTGATTTCTTTTTTTAATCGGACTTTAACTTTGCGGTTTAAAAGAAAAGATTCTATTAGCTTAAGTAGTGAGTACGGCTAGCTTTGCTCCGTTATGTGTGACGACCTTAAGCGATTACCTGAAGGAACTCACGGGAGCGCGGGGTTCACATAAGAGCTCAAGAGAATCTTAAAGTAATAACTTAGAATCAACAACTACCGAGTGTAAAGGTCGAAGGTAACTAAGGTCTATATACACGAAAGTAAAAGCGCCAAGGACTCGTGAACCATAGTTCATAAGTCAAAAGCGGGGAATAAGAGAATACGAAGAATACGAAAGGAAAAAGAAAGGAAATAGCTTAGCGCATATGAAGTGCGTCCAAGAGACCTAGCGTGTCGTCACACTACCCCCTCGTCCGAAAAAAGCTCGTCCTCGAGCGTCCATCCATTGCTTTATTATTACTCAAGTGATCGTAATCATCAACACCGTTCGAATAAGCCTTGATCCAGTCGAAGAGCTTCGCGAAAGAGCCGAAGAGCTCTTTATGTTCCAAGTGGAAGTCACGTACTTTAAAAGGAGCGTACATAAAGTCGAAGGCGGGGTACCAAGTAAAGTCAATGTCGCGGCCGAGCTAAGAAGCGCGGTACTCGAAGTGCTTCTTAGTTTAACGCACGGCTAAGATGTTTTCTACTTCGTACTCAAGTTCGCTAGTGATATTAATCGAGTCAGGTTTAAAAATGATTTGCCCGAGAGTAAGGTCATTAAGAGCTTTTCGTAGCCGTCCGAGGTAAAAAACTAAGTGAACCTTCATTGACTCGAAGAGCTTAAGTTTGAAGCTGCTATAAACGTTATCAGTAACCTCGAACGGTCCGTTCGTAAGGTTATCGAGCTTTTTTAATAGTCGAGAGGTAAAGAACGGGCGCATATCCAACCAAACCTTATCATTAACGTCGAAGTCAACCGAGCGCCTTGATTTATTAGCTTGTTTGGCCATACGGTCTTAAGCGCGCTAAAGGTGCTCTTTAACGAAGTTCTAAGCTCCGAGGTAGCGGTTGACGTAAGCGCGAGCTTCGTCTTAGTTAAGCTTGCGAAAAAAAGTTTGATCGTCAGATCGTTCTAAGCTCCAATTCCAAGTGGTCCGAAAAGCGTAGCCGTAAATTACCTTAAAAAAGGAAAGGCCGCCGAAGGAGTCGTGAAAGAGCGTTAATTGGGCGAAGTCTATTATAAAGAAGAACTCGCTCCAATCGTCTTAATAGTAGCTTACGAAAAGACGAAGGCGCTTCTATAAGTACTAGTTGTAGATTTCGGTTTAACCGTCAGTCTTAAAGTGTGCGGCGGTGCTAAAAGTCAGTTTAATGCCGAGGATTTTATTAAATTCTTTCTAGAACTCAGACCAGTATTAAGGTCCTTTATCAGAAGTCAGCGTCAAAAGAGCTCTAAAATACCTATAGATATAATAGATATAAAGCTTAGCGAAGCCTTTAACGTCGATGGACTTATGACAAAGGATCGAGATTGCTTGCTTAAAAAAGCGGTCGATTACCACAAAGACGTTGTCGTAGCCGTATTTGTTTTTATTAAAGCTACAAAAATCCATAGTAACGTGCTCTTAAAAGCGCGAAAAGATCGAGAAAGGTTAGAGCAAGCCAGGTTTCTTATCGCGGAGCACTAAAGCTCGTCTGCAAGCGTAGCAGTTGCGGCAGTACTAGTTGACGAATCTAGCCATACCGTGCTAATAATACTATGCTACAAAAAGCTTATAAGTTTTGCGAAAGCTAAAGTATGCCGTAAATACTTGGTCGTAGACTTCTCGGACGAGTAACGAGCGCAAGTTTTAGACGTCGAGAACTAATAAGCGGCCGTCATAGAGCAGCAAGTCGCTTTTCATAATGAGTTTAGCCCGTAAACCGTGGTTCACGGGTGAAGACTCAGCTCTAAAAGCTTGAATTCGAAGTGCTGTGAAACTAAAAGCGGTCCGATTAGCTTCTAAGACTTAATTAATAACTCGAAATGTCGGTAAGAGCTCCGCGATCTCTTCGATAATGACGGCGGTCTCCGAGAGCGTAAGTTGGCGTAGCTCTTCGGTCAAAAGTCGTAAGTCAACGTTATCGGCGCGGAGCAGCGTTTGCAAGCGTTAAGTGCGCTTAAAGCTGTTTTAAGAAAGGAGCTCTTCGGTGCGACGTGTCAGCGCGTCAGCTAAAGGGTTGTCTTTACTTAGTCTATACGTGATGATAAAGTTGTAATCGGAAAGGAGCTCTGCCTAGCGTGCTTGACGGGCGTTAAAGGTCTTAAAGGTCATGAAGTACTTTAAAGCTTTATAATCGGTGATTACTTGAACCTAGTAAGAGAAGCCGGCGAGTTCGGCGCGGAAGTTACTAAAAGAGCGTATAATAGCCAGCATCTCTTTATCGTGGACGACGTAATTGAACTTAGCGAGAGCCATGGTTTTAAAGTAATAAGCGACTAGTAGCTAATCGGAACCATGCTTTTAAGAGAGGACTAAAGCGATTACGCCGTCGAAAGCGTCAGTCTCTAGCATACAAAAGAGGTTTTGATTATAATGCTATAAGATTAACGCAATAATTAAAGCGAGCTTCAAGAGGTCGAAGCTTCTTTAATATTAAGAATTGAATAAAAAAAGAACGTTAGCTTTAATCAAGTGCATTAAAAGCTTCGCGATCACGCCGTAGTCTCGAATAAATCGGCGGTAAAAGTTGCAAAATCCAAAGAAGCTTTAGACGCCTTTAACGGTCGTAAAGGGCGCCTAATGCTCTACTATCGACGTCTTGTCCGGATCTACTTCTAGGCCTTCGGTAGAAATAATAAAGCTTAAGTATTTTACCTTAGTTGTGCTAAATTCGCATTTTTTGATGTCAGCTTAAAGGCTAGCGTCGTCGAGTCGTTAAAAGACTTAGCGAACGTGGTGAGCGTGCTCTAAGAGGTCGAAGGAGTAGATCAAGATGTCGTTTAAATATACCGTGCAAAAGATGTTTAAGAAGTCGAAAAAAAAGTCATTCATATAGCGTTAATAAGTGGCGGGTCCATTAGTCAATCCGAATAAAAGAACCTTGCACTTATAAGCATCGTAGCGTGTCTTGAATGTTATGAGCTCCTTTAAAGCTGGGTCCATCCGTATTCTATGAAAAGCTTGCCGAATATCGAGTTTCGTAAAGATTTTAGCTCTTAAAAGACGTGCGAAAGTCTTATCGATCAAAAAGAAAAGGTATCGATCTTTACGAGTAAGGTTGTTCAGCGCGCGGAAATCAATACAAAAGCGGAAGGAACCGTCTTGCTTCTTAGCAAACAAAACTAAAGCTGCAAATAACGCTGTTAAAGGTTCGATAAAACCTTTATTAAGATTGTCGATAAAGTAGGCTTTAGTAAGCTCTAGCTCAAGGATCGACATTTTATACAATAGTGAATACCGAAGCGCTTTCTTCCCTCCTTCGAGAAGCTCGATTTTGTAATCGTAAAGCCTGTATAATGCTAGCACGTTACTAGCAACTTTAAAGAACACGTATACGTAATCGGAGTATTCGGAAAAGATAAAAGGGTCGTTAATAAGCTTTGATAGTTCCGCTGCAAGATCAATAGCAAAGATAGAGCCGTTAATAAAGCGTGTTAGCGATGCTTAATAATCAGCTTGAGTAAAAGCAATCGTCTAACGCTCGGAGATCAAGCAATCGAGCTCGTAAAAAGACGTAAAGAACAGTTCTACGTCTTTTTAACGAGCGATTATATAAAAAGCGTATTCGAAGACGCCGTTGATTTTAAAGTTTCCATTGATTTTGTACTTAGATGTTTAACGGGAGCGTTTAACGGGTAAAAGAGGTTCTACGGAAGCGATGTCGGTTAACACAAGCTCACGGTTCATTTAAGACATTGATTTAGCGTAGTCTTTAAAAAAAGTGTTTTTCGTAAAGCGAAAGAGTGACGGCTTTACGAAAAGGTAAATAAAAGAAGAAGGTTCAACGATCTTAAAAGAAGAAGCAAAGAGAAGACGATTCCGAAGAGAAAGAAGTGATTTAACGACTATTGTTGCTGCTTAATCCGCTCGTAAACTATAGTTCACGAGTGAATTAGCGTCGTAAACTCTCTAAAAGCGGTCTAAGGCTCGATCACGCTTGTTAGCGTCGTATTAGTAACGAGCGTTTACCTTACGCTAGTTAAAGTGTGTAATCTCAATAAGTTTAGCGTAAATAACGGTCGAAAGGTTAGAACGAAGCTAATAGAGCTTGCGGCGAGCGCAATCAAAAAGAATCTAATGCTTAGCTAACCATGCTCGTCCGAAGATCACGCTATGATTCCCAAGGTTAGTAATAAGAAAAAGAGTAAAAGATTAAACGCGCTTGTTAACCGTAAAGTTGAGAAGTGCAAAATGTAAGATAATGGCTCTACGAGCTCTATTATATAACTTGACAAAGAATAAAGCCGAAAAAGGTTGAATCAAAAGTTTAAAAAAGAAAGAAAGCGATTTAAGTAGCGCTAAGTCAATCAGCGCGTACCCATTAGCTCCTGAATCGAGCAAAGCAGATACCTTATACGAAAAGCCATTCTTAGTAAAGGTGACGAGTATAATCATAGCTTTGCCACCAAGAAGCTTCGTAAGGTCGAAGTATCGCATATCTCGAAGCTAGCCTAAGAAAAAAGCTTTGCTTAAGCCTCGACGTTTCCCTTATTATCGGGAGCGTCGGGGTCAGCAGAAAGGAGCTCTTGGTGATCCTCAAGAGCGTCGGAGTAGGGCCCATCGTCCGAGTCATCCGAATAAAGGCCGTATTCAGGTCCAGCGCCGTATTCTATCTCGTTGACTGAGTAGTGGCGGGGGAGCTTCGGCGTATTCGAGTCTTTGCAAGACGATCCAAGGGTTTTGATTGCTGACCTAAAGGCGTTTCCGGGAAAAGAGAATTTGTTAAATCGATTGGATCGATCTGCACTAGCGCCAAAGCTGTTAAAGGTTTAGCGCTAAAAAGTAAAGAAGAAGACGGGGGCTGAGCTACCTTAGCGGTTCTCGTAATAAGTGATTTGCTTGACCGCTGCTCCTTAAGCCGAGCGGGATTCGGTACGAGCTCTACTATAAAAGCTCTTCGCGAATTAAGTATTATACCTAGCTTATAGAGCATCGTAAAGCCTTGCAGACGCGTATTGGCCAGCAGCCAATTGTTAAACGGCGGTCTGAAAGTCCTTAAAGGTTGTAGTCTTAACAAATTCCAAATAAAGCTGGTCGCGCAGCGTTTTAGTGATCTTAAAACGCAAGGCCTCACGTAATCGGTCTTCGTCCTTGATTTCGGCGGTAGCGGCAAGCTCCGAGAAAACAAAGTAAAAGTCTTAAAATTGCTGGTTAAGCCTTATATAAAGTTTTTCGAACTCAATTGACGCTTTGGCCTTCTTAGCGGAGTCGTTCAAAAACTCGAAGGCGATCTAAACGAGTTCCGAAGCGATTACGAAGTTGCTACGATCCATGACTAAAAAAGCCAAGAACAAGTGGGCTATTCCTTCGGTTTGGTCAAAAACGTAGTTCTTGCGTTAGCGTTCTATAAAGAAGTATTCTTCGAAAGCTTTTAAGTTGTCGAAGACGCGGGCTTGCTAGTGACGTGCTCGGTAGCTTACGCCGTCTAAGAGCTTCTGTTCAAGGTTAAGGATCCGCTCGATACGAGCGCGACCTTAAGAAGCTAAAGAAGAGGCTCTAAAAGTGTTGAACCTAGCTAAAGTGCGAAAGTTAGTTAGCCTGTGAAGAGAAGGTGGTTTATCGTCGTCGGCGAAAAGGCGGCGAAGGTTAGCGGTTCTATAAGTAAAGGGAGTGGCCTGGGGGACCGAAAGCCTGTATAGCTCTTTGCCTTTAGAATTATCTTCGAAGGAAACTTAAAGAGGCTTTAACGAGCGTTCCGTAATTAGCAAGACCGCCTAGAGCTGGTCCAGTTCCTTTCGAGCTCGACGAGCCTCTTTTTCAGCCCTTTCGGCGAAGGTTTTTTGTTCGTTAGCGCTTTTATCGAGCTCTTCGTTGCGGGTTTTTATGTCTGCGAAGAGCTTTCTAAGCTCAGCGGCCTCTCGTTAAGACTAGAAAAGAGCTTGGTATTGGGCCAAAGCTTCTTCGGGGTTAGTAAGGGCCGAGGGATCATCTTCATCGTCTTGCTTACTAATAGCTTCTTCTTGAGTAAAAGGAACTGCTAGTTGGGCCGTAAAAGAAGAGGAGAGAGCTGCTAAAGCAGCTTTAAAAGGTGTGCGAAGGATTTTGCCCGCGGAGCGAAGGTTGCTGTGTTGTATAAGTGCCATCCTTCAAATTATACTTGGAATAAGCCTTCTCGTAACCGTTAGAGTCGTCTAAATGTTTTTTAACGTCCAACCACTAAAGAATTCTAAAAAAGAAGAATATTATTAAAGCCGTTCCCGGCGGAGTAAAGTAGTTGTTGATAATATGACGACCTTAAGCGATTACTTAAAGGAACTTACGAGAGCGCGGGGTTCACATAAGAGCTTAAGAGAATCTTAAAGTAATAACTTAAAATCAACAACTACCGAGTGTAAAGGTCGAAAGTAGCTAAGGTCTATATACACGAAAGTAAAAGCGCCAAAGACTCGTGAACCATGGTTCATAAGTCAAAAGCGAGGAATAAGAGAATACGAAGAATACGAAAGGAAAAAGGAAGGAAGTAGCTTGGCGCATGTAAGGTGCGTCCAGGAGACCTGGCGTGTCGTCACATTATGCGTTTAAAAAAGCGACGGGTCAAGACCGCATCGAAAGCTCTTTAGACGTTTATAGTAATTATAATAACTTAATATTTAATTGCAAGTGCGGACTCGATGTCGTATGTTAAGTACGAAGCGAGGTTTAATGCAAAGCGCCGTAGAAAGGCTTTTGCGTGTTGTAAGTTAAAAACGTCGTTAATAAAAGCAGTTTACGCAATTCTTTTCGCAACGATACGCTCTAGTCTTTTAAAGATGCACGAAAGCAAAGCAATCGGTCGCTAAGAGCGGATAGAAGTCTTATCTTTTTTCTTTACTTTAAAGATCATCGAGACTTCAGCGAGCTTTTATGCATCCGGGAAATAATAAAAAGCTAAGCACTTATTAAAAAAGCTATAAAAGAAGTGATAGACGTGTTGCTAGCATGCTTTAAACAGTCGTACGGTGATTTTGTTCGTTTTAAGTAAAGTGCTTATTACTTCGATCACGTAAGACTCCACTTTTTTTAATAACACCGTAGTATCTTAAGAGAGCCGGCTAATGCTTTCTTAGCTAGCGAGTAGATCGTAGTCGAAGTCGTCGGCGGCGCTAAACCGTTTAAAGATGCTTTTTCGTAGCGCGTCCGCTTTCTTTTTAATGTCTTCGATAGCTTTATCGTTGATTATTAAAAAGAGCGATTTTAAGTTCGAAGTAAGCTTGTGTTAGCTTATGATCTTATACAAGTCTTAGTTCGATTTCACTCCGTCGATCACGTGAGTCTAATAAGCCTTTTTAGCTTTTTTAATTATAGCGAGCTAGTCTCGCGTTTCTTAGGTCGGTTCTCCGTCGTATATTACGAAGCGCGCTGCTAAGTGTTTTTTATACGCTATCTAGCAGTCTGCCGTCTATTATAATGCAGCCGTTAGCTCTTTTCGAGCGAGCTGTTTCGCAACTTTTAAAGTAGAGTTGAAAGCAGTAGTTAAGCTGATCGCAAGCTGATCGAGTTCTTCGATAGAATGTATCGTCTACGGGTCGGAGAGTTGGTCTACGCTTAGCGCTATAAGCGAAGCGAATTTCTCGAGGTCTTAGTCCGGTACTCGGTATTAAAAGCGCTTTAAAAGAACGACTCTTCGGCTAAGGATAGTCGTGACTTGAGTCTCGTAGTTTAAGCTCGAATAGAGATCGGGGCGAATTATCGTTTAAGCAAACGGGATATTTGAAAAGGTCAAGTCTAGAACGTGACCAGCTTTGTAAGTGGAATTGTCGGTATATCCATATCGACCTTAGCTA